ATTTGTACTGATACAAAGATATGAGGATCAAACTGAGACACATTTACAGCTGAAGTGTTCAGAGTTGCTTTTTTAAGAGGAAATATCAAATATTCAAATATCTGAGCATAAGAAATTAACATGAAATCTCTGTAATATAAAGAAACTTAGATCATCAAGAATGTTCCAGACCCTTACAACACACATTTTTAATGATTATAAAACACATTTATACCATAATGATCTGTAACGTGGTGCAATATGAAATTAAATTGTTATGTTTGTACAGATGCTGCCTGTTTTCATTATCTAAACTTCAACATGCAGGTGTAACATTTCAGTAGTATAAAATTGGTACAATAATTATTATTAATTAGAGAGTCCATTACCAATTTAAGAAAAGAAAAATAAAATGAACACAATTTAATGAAAATGACCCTGAAGCACAAAACACGTGATAGTTTGGAAGTTTAGCACTGAATCCTGTATGTAATAGTTTGCCAAAATACATTTTTTGTCCCTTAAATACATTAGAGTGTTTTAGTTGTGATAGTAATAAAGCACTCACAGGAAGTTACATTAATACAATTATTTGAGCTACATTTTATGTTTAACCCAGAAAACCCAACCTCTCAAACATTGATCATGATCATCATTTGTCCAGGAGTTGTTTTTAACCTCCACATTCTTCCATGACAGACTATTTTTTTTTTTTGCTCAAAATTCCACAATCTTAAAAAAAGATGGTTCTTCAAAGGTTATTTAGTAAAGGATGTGGTTCTATTTAGAACCATGAGTTTTATATAGAACCATTTCGTGTTTGAATGGTTATTTGCATAGTGAAATGGTTCTTCTGATTGATGGAGAATGTGTTGTATATGGTTCCATATATAGAACCTTTTTGAAACTGTTTCTATATAGCACCAAAGAGGGTTTTTCTATTATTACAAGCTTGACACCGAAGAACCTTTTTTGGTGCTATACAGAACCCTATTCAAAAATATACCCTATATGGTTTCATATAGAACCATCTACAGCACATTCTCCATCAGTCAGAAGAACTCTTTCACAATGCAAAGAACCCTTTAATCATGCAAAGGGTTCTTTGAGTGTACATGGTTCTATATAGAACCATTTTCTTTACTAAAGAACCCTTAAAGAATCATCTTTTTAAGTATTTAGAATACACTTACTTTCAAAATTTTTAGAGCATACTTTAAGAAATTCTTACCCATCAAAAAACAAAGAAAATAAACAAACAAAAAACAAAAACAGATTATTAAAAAAAAAACATAACAAAGAATCATCTTTAAAAGAAACATCATTAAGCCTTATTAGCTATTTTAAAATCTCAGTCAGTGGAGAGAGGAATGAAGGTGTGACAGAATATCGAGATCATACTTTACTAAAGAATGCTTGAAGAACCATCATTTTTAAGTGTGTACGATGTCAAGCTTGTAACGCTAGAAGAACCCTTTTCAAAAAGGTTCTCTATAGAACCGTATACAAGACATTCTCCACCAATCTGAAGAACCATTTCACCATGCAAAGAACCATGTAAGCACTCCCTTTACTGAAGAACTCTTGAAGAAATATCATATATATATATATATATATATATATATATATATATATATATATATATATATACATATATACACACACACTTTTCCCTTCAGACTCCTGGTCAAATTACGTGTTGTTGATTTTCTAAGTAAAAATAAGTTAACACATCCTCTACAGGGAACACACTTCTGCACATTTTAATGTGGTCTGTGCAAAAGTTATGGCATATTTTATATTTTGTTTTCATTTTTTCCCCAATATATTAAATAAAGCAAATAAAATATGCACTAAATTTAGTAGAAAATGCCATATTTAAGTTTGTGTCCTGTAGAGCATATGTTATCTTATTTCCACTTAGAAAATCAAAGAAACATGTAATAAGATCAGGAGTGATAAGGAGTGTTCATACTTTTGCATTGTATGTGTGTGTATGTACATATACATACATATTCATCAGCTACTCCTGATTGATACTCCAGACAATAATTTCAAGTTCAGAACATTATAATACATACGGCTGCATCAAATTTAAAAGCATAATTTCTTTATTTGGCATTTTTGTCTCCTAACACCTTTCACTTGGTAAATGCTGTATGTCTGTGCACATAGTTTTTTTTTGCATGTCTAATAAAAGATCTAAAGACATGAACACAAACTGAAAAGAAGCTCTTGCAGATATTTTTCCTCAGCCCTGCTGCACTGATTTGAAAGGTTTATGGCCTTGTTTTGTGGAAAGAGCCAAGAGCTGAAATGAGAAGCTGCTCCACTGCTGTGCAAGTGGAATATACTCTTATCGTTGGGAATACCTCTCCTGAGAGCAAATGAGGCAATATATCATCTGTAGAGAGAAATGTGACAATGTCAAAGAGTTTGCTTTTTTCTTTTTTTTGACTTTCTGGGATTCTCCCAGGGTTCAGAGCTTATCAATCATTTTAGGCCAAGGCAAGAGTGTCCCATTTTCTCCCATGTCCTTGAGAGGCCCATGTCCCCTACTGACCACATAGAGGCCAAGGGCATCTTGGTTGCCCCCTTGCAGCCCTCTCCCAGCATTCCCTCCTCCCTTCACCCTTTGTTCACCTGTTGTCCTGGAGACTCCACTGCCACAGAGACCACCCATTGTTGTGGTGAGAATGGAGATGAAACGGCATGCAATCACCCAGTGATTGCACAAGAGACTGATGTGGAGGAAACAATTTGTGTTAAACAAAATAAACATTGTCATTAATGAAAGAGCTTAAACATGATGTTCTGTCATGCCAGACTGGACAAACATAGGTTTAGTTGTATTTCTGTCCAAAGCCCATTAACTAAACCCCACAGAACACACTGACTCCTAGCTGGGAGAAACTGGACGTCGACAGTGGTCTTGCATCATTTCAACACACTTTTGTACTTTTAGCGGAGCTTTGACCAGAGGGAAGCAAAAGTTGGCCTTGCCAACCGTCCCGACTGACTGCACCCCAAAAGGATTTCCCTCTTTGTGGCAATTGTCCCTCGTCCCTGGCCCACACATGGCCTCCTCCAGCCCTTATCCCGCCCCTCGGCCGGCCGCTGGCTCTCCCCTGACCCTGGCCACGCACATGAAAGCCCCATCAGCGCTGTGACCAGCCACATTTACAAGTGAAAGGGAGCCAATAATGGAGCGGTTAGGGAGAAAATGAGGAGACAGAGGGGAGCTCACAGATGTTGAGGGGGGAGCCAGGGGCCATTGTTGCTGGGGGGAGGCAGCGAGGTGCCTTTTTAAACCTGATTTGGAATGGAAGGGAAGAGGTGTCCGAATGGAAGGGCCAGAGGCCAGGCGAGGACAGCCATCCTGGAGAGCGTGTGAACCAGGGCATGGAGGTCAAACTGAGAGTGGAGAAAAGGGAGAGGGGGGTCACTGCGGTATTATCTCAGCCGGCTTTTTGTAAGGGCATTGCAACATTGGAAAATCCTTCCTTAAACGTTACACCAAGGTGAAAGGGCATTCAGACTGAGATGCTGCTCTCTCCGGCCTTCCTCCCTGCACATTAAGATGAGGGCTGATGAAGTCGTCAAAGTGGGTATTATGCCAGGGCTTTGTATGCAGGTGCAACAGAGAGAAAAGCTAACTTGTAAGAACTTTATCCTCCACTGAAAAACCTTTGTTTAGGTCCTTCTATAAAAAGCTTTAAGTCAGCCTCTCTGAGCCTGAATATCCTTCTCCTAAGACAGCTACCACACACCATCTGACACCTCTTCATTTCCTGTTGAGAAACGACTAATTTCCTGTGGCAGAAGGCAGATGGGGAAATCTAGCAGAGATCTTCCATCAGTAGCAGATGAAAGCTGGCCCCATATTCACAAAGGACATCAAAGTAAAAGGATGTATGGTCACTACCTACTTAGGTCATTACATGCTTAAACATAGTAAACCAATCTAGAACTATCACTTGCACTGAAAGATTTTGTGAAAATGACCGCAGGCCTTACAGTACTGCAAGAAACACTCAGAGATCACCTTTTATTTAATTTTCAATAAAAATGGCTATTAAGTATTATTTATTTTTTGGGAGATATTTCTGAGGAGATTATCCACTTGAATAAGGAAGAGGAAAGTCAAAGGAAAATAAGTGGGGGAGAAATATTTGCAAAACCGGAGTTCAAAACATTATGGAAAGATGTAGAGAAAATGTGACCACCATGCAATATTTAACAGCTAAAACGACTGCAACCAGATAAACAGCAGTTAAAGGAGAAATCAAGGAGAAAATCAAGATCGCTTAAGATCTGAAAAAATCCACAAGTGTTTCTGTCCATTCTTCCACTGTGACAAGACAACTCAACACTATCAGTCTGAAAGGATGTGTAGCTGTTAAGAAGCCCTTACTGAAAAAGGAAACAGACAAAAAGAAGAACATTTACAATTTAAACAAAGAAGCCGCTGGTGTTCTCAGTACAATGGACTGACCACCCCAAACCTGAATGTGTTTGGGATTACTTAAATCTTGAAAATCAGAAAATGCAACCAACTTCTAAGCCTGAACTTTGGAGGGGTTTAAAACATCCCTGCAGATTTCTTTGTAAAACTGAGAAGTTTTCTCAAAAAGAATGAAAGCTGTAATAAGGCAAAGGGTGGACACACTAAACGCTGAAAAACTTTAAATTATATGTAATTGTTGGGGCTTGTGTTATTTTCTGTTAAATATGTTGTCTGCTCTTTTTCCTTGTTTTTTTCTCTGAACAAAAATAAATGAAGATTGGTACTTGCACAGTACTGTCTATATATATCAAGCACCGTAGAGTGAAAGTGCTGATCTAGGATCAGTTTTATACATACTGTATGTCTCTAGAGCAAATCTAACTCTTTGTCCCCAGCCAAGATAATGTCCCCTTCACACATTTACTCAAGGCAGACAGTTTAAATCTGTAGTACCCACAACGAGGCACACAATATGCAACATACACAGGAAACATGAATAAGCACAAACACAATCTGAACAGAGAAAACAAATGGGCTTTTAATTTAATAATCTGAGGCACTATGAAGCACAGTATTTTTCTCCTCTTCATGGTTAGCGATGATATTATTCGTTATGGGCCTGTTTCCCACACACAGATTAAGCCTAGCACTGGACTAAATTGAAGCATCAATGGTGAAACATCCATTGGAAATAATTTTTGGTCTAGACCTAAACTTAATATGAGTCTGGAAAACTGGCCCTATATGTCAATATGTATTAAATATTTCTTCTGAAATCAAGGGTGTAGCATCAGCCAATAGAGCACTAGTGAGGTCAGGTACTGATGTTGGATGATTAGTTCTGGATCACAAACACCACTCCAACTCATCCCAAAACTGGATGGTGCTCCATCACTTCAATGAACGCAGTTCCACTGAAGCCCAATCCTGGGGGCTTCATACCCCTGCAGCAATGCATTCACCTTAAAGTAACTGAATTCAGTAATTACAGGGCATGTCTGCAAACAGCAGAACATACTGTGTGTCAGCTGAGTGCTTGGGATTGGGCATGAATAAATCATCTGACAGCTATAACTTATAAATAACATGATACTCCTTGGTCAGATGAAAGTATGGATATCAGATACAAGGACCAAGTACAAGAAAATAAGCATTGCTAAGTCTATAAAGTTTAATTTTCAAATAGAGTGCATAGAAAAATTCAAGTAATTTGAAAAGATTTTCAGTTTAATACTGAAAGAATGTGTGTTTTAGTTTAGGCAAAGGCAAGCAGAATTTTCAAAACATTTCAGGATGTACCATATAGCTGGATTAGAACCTTCAGTTTGAACTTTCAAATCTGCTCTTGCAGTTGCAACCCAACACTGTACCCATCCATAGTACAGTGTGTGAGTTCATCACTACATCAGTACTGTAAATAATACACTCATCCATTTTGAAGTGCAACTTGCACTATGAAACATGGACTCATTTGGCAGCAACTATGGCACTATCCATATTTAGTTGTGGGGGGATACAAGAACACAAACTGTTCGCTGTTTACTGCTAACAATATATATGTATACCATTTTAAGGAATTGACATTCCATCTCTGTTTACAATCAGAAGTCTAATTAAAAATGAGAAGCAAGACGACTTATCAGACCAAATGTGACAATACTGTCACCTATTGGTAAAGACAGAGAATACAGCACTTCATTCCCCAGACTCTCATAAATAATGAAAATCTTTTAAATTCCTGATTTTAAACCAGCAAATTATTTTAAATACAATTAAAAATCCTCTTCAGTCAGGTAAAATTGTTGCAGCTGGAAAAAGCCATTCCCTTTTGATTTTAAACTGGCAAATCAGCTGATGGCAACTCTGTGCACCTGCCTAATAAAATGATCAACAGCAGAACCTCTTTGCACAGAGATTTGGCACATACAGAGGCTTCTTAGAGACAAACCTTGCCAGCAAGGTATTTATGAGTATCTACATGAAGATACCATGATCCCAACTGTAAACTCAGTTTTTTTTCTTAAAAAAAGGCAGCGTCCCAAGCTGCATTTCTGATTTTCAGGCCACTTCTCACCAGTTCTTCTACAGAAACTTGTTCACTGCCCCTGCAGACTGGCATGGATGAACTCCACCTGGCCTGCTGTTCATGTGTGACCACAGACATTAAATCTCAATCCTCAGAGGAAAAGGTTGACTTTAGCAGGCACTAGTTTGCACCCAGTACTTGAGAAGTGTTGTCCATCCTGTGGTGTGTAGGTCACGGCGCCCCCTACTGCCACTGCCACGTCTCTGCGCTGGCACTCACCGCGTTGGCACAGTTCCCGCTGGGCACAGCGTTCCACGTGGCGCCGACACAAGGGCAGGAAGGGCACAAAATGAGCTATTCGCTTTTCAGAGATTATTTTGGAATGGTAGAATCCACCTGGAGAGCAAAGTTCATTCACAAGTTATTTATATTTGGTCTGGACAAATGAGCTATGATCTTGCTTCTGATATCAAGCAGCAAAGTATACTGTAAGAACCATAACACTGCTTCTGGTTTTGTGCTGGAATACATTCAATTAATTATATTTGAAGAATAAGCAGTGTTTATAGATAAAGTTACATATAAGGTTATCTGCAGTGCATTCTCAGCAATCATGTACTAAAACAACATACTTCAAAGCATGTATGACCAGAGAATGATACTTACTATTCTTATTGTTGTACACAGCCTCTGCAATGGCCTCCTTAAGCTCCTCTGGCTGGATCTCCTCTCTGTCTCGTCCTGCCTGTCGGCTCTCTAGAGCTACTCTGTTAATGACCTCTTGACCTGCAGTGCTAGAGCAAAAGAATATCATATCAGCAAAGCAAGGTCCATAATGATAACTGGGAAATACAACAAGCTGAAGTGAAATAATCAAAACTAGCAGGAGAAATGACAATGTAATAAAATAAAATAACACTTTCCTGAAGGGCAGCATTCATATAGCTACATGACACCTGCATGAACCTTTAATGGTAATTAACATAAACAAATAAGAGACATTTATAAAAGCTTATTCCAACAAGTGGCATCTGTCGTAACACCTACTGAGGTGACATGACATAAAATTTGACAAACTAGCCTTTATGACAAGTGACACTTGTTTAAACAAGCCTTTCTATACAGTCAGGTCTATATGTATTTGGCCATTTTTTTGTAGATTTTCCTCTGTACACCACCACAATGGATCTGAAAATGAAGCAGTCAGGATAAGATTGAAGCGCAGACTTCCAGCTTTAATTCAAAGGGTTTAACAAAAAAATTTGCATTAACTGTTCAGGAATTAGACATTTTTTCCACAGTCCCTCAATTTTCACAGGCTCAAAAGTAAATGGACAAACTAACCTAATTATAAAAACAAAGATTATTTTTAATATTCTGATGCAAATCTTTGCAGTCAATGACTGCCTGAAATCTGGAACCCACAGACATCACCAAAGGCTGAGTTTGGAGATCAGGTGACTGACTCTGACAGGTGCACCAAAAATGGTGTCACTGTCTAAATACTTATGAACCGGACGGTATTGTCGCTGTCCAAAGAAAAACATCTATATCCAAAACAGCAACTTTACAGGTGGAGGCAAAACATTCTCAACTTTTGATGCAAGTTAATGCAAAGAGGTTTTATTCCAAATAATTCTGGAACATTTTAATTTGTCTACTCATCATTACATTTTCGAAAAATAAAAATGGACAAAAATGTAAATACACAGCTTTTTTTTGGACAGAGACTATATGTTTATGTAGGTTTATGCTAGACATCATAAAGGGCTTATGTAGGTGCAATGTAGCCTTCTGAATGTTGCCCTTAGCAAGGTGTCACTAATAAAATTTCTTTACTTATGAAATATCTTCTTCCCCTCCAAAGACCAGCTTACATGCTCATTTACTGTTGCTCTACTCTATCAGTCACTCTGACATTTTCATATAAGATGTACTGCTAACTGTAATGCTAACTTTGAACATACAAGCACAGATATCACACTAAAGTCAAGTAAACTTCACTAAGACGCTCTGTCTAGGCTAATGCTCACTTACTCAGTCAGACATACCTGATAAAAACATAGATGGCCTTGCGGTAGTTAGTCTGGAAAACAACATGTGAAGGCCCAAGGAACGGTTCTAATACATCAATCACGCCAGGGGGCATCTTCTCCATCTCATCAAATATAAAGATAGAGCGAGCACAGGCTGTGAGGTTACCCTGCACCCAGCGCTTCAGATCTGACTGTGTTGAAGAGTGAGAAGAATATGAGCAGTGAACTTGAGAAGCTGAGTTATTCTTTCATGTTACAAAGTTTACATGGGTCTCACTTATTATCATGCTAACTGCTTGTTTTGTTTTTCTTTATAGAGGTATTAGTGCAGGCATGCTGAAGAGTATTATAGCAGAAAATATGATTTACAAAAGTACTTAAAAAGCACTACATTACCTTGTATTGCTTCACCCGGTCAGCTAAGGGAAAGTGCAGTGTGGGCACATACTGATGGATGTAAGGGCTTCCCATAGCTGTTCCATACAGGTGGCGTCCCAGCATAGTGCTGACCATACTCTTACCAGTCCCTGAGGCTCCGTGGAAGGATAGCACCAGTGGTCTATCTGGACTTTCCTTCTGCAGGAAACTGGCCACCGACTCTGACACAATATCCTGCGCCAGATGCTGCCCATATAAATTTTTATAAAGGTCCCACTCCAGTCCTGGGAGAAGAAATAAATATCGGTGTCACTGTTATGAAGCTCTCTGATCCAGCACACCCAGAGACTACACGAGCAGATCCAGATAAAGTTAAGATTCGTTTCTTAGTCGTTAGTAGCTCATTCGAATTTCCCGTTCCACCTTAAATGTACAAGCGCCCGAGTCTAACTGCTGTTCAATTTAACCTGGAATGGAAACTTCGAATTTTCTTCGCGAATAAGAAAACAACTTGAGCCTCGTCAGACACAATTAGCAGAGGTATCTGGACTTTATTTAATTTCCAGGATAACACTTAGCCCACGTTAGCTAGTTAAATCTAAACTGAATGTAATGCGAACTAAGCTAGCTAACCTAACCCAAGTCCTTTAGCTAACAGATGCCGGTAGGTGTCTAGGTAGCGGACGCTACTGGGGAAATTAGGCAATGTCTATTGCTGTATTGGGAACTAGCAAGCTAGCTAATAATAATGGGTAACTGTTACATCTTTCTAGCAAGCTAGTAACCTTAACTGGCGAAACGAAAAGGCAAAATACAAGAATTAGAAGGTAAAATAACCTCTCCTTAAGAATAACTGTACAGTTTCAGTAAATGACTAGTAAATGTGTGTTTAGTGAGCCGAGAGCTAATGTTATTTGTATCAGTTAGCTAGCTAGCTAGCTTAGGGCTAAAAACCAAAGACTTTGTTGTTCTTACCCTTTATGTTTGGCTTGAAGTCGCAGTCACAGCTGTCAGAAATCGTGCAATATATCATTTTCATCTGAAAACCCCTAACTGTGGATATACAGTAAAACAAGAACAGTGTCCAGATCACAGCTGCTCCCTGAGACCACAGCTCCATGGTGAGTTGGAGGGTGAAACAGATCCAGCGGCTGCTTGATTCATCCACTAGAGGCATCCGCTGAGTTTCTCCAGGTGAAAAAATAAATGTTTTGCTCAGTGTTCATATTTTAAGTAGAGCTGAGCAAGGAAAAGCCCCAACAGAGCCACTATAAATGTAGCATTTACTATTTCTGCCGTAACTAGCTCCGTTTCACTTCAGTCGTATATAAGGTTACACGTTGGCAACTCAGCTACAAAGTCTAGGAGGATTGATAAAGTCTCAAAGTAATCTGGGAATCAGGGCGGACCTGGCATAAAAGGTGCTATTAAACTGACATATAATTTACTGATAAACGTTTTGTATATAAAATAATTAAATAATCAGTCAAACAATTAAATAATCAATATATAGATATAGTCTAGCCATGTCTTTTCATTAACTGGAAAATATGAAACAGCCCATGTTCTACATTTTTCCCCTTAATGACCACTTATAACATTTTTGTGGTTTTATGTACCAAAAACAGTCATAATAAATTTTTTGACCATAGACTGAAACAGTCCATCTTTTTTACACGACTGTCTTCATTTTCTTTGTCAGTTCTTGTTAAAATTAAACAGGCTGTTTTTATTACTGTGCTTTAGACTGAAATATGTAAATTACCTCTGTTCTGAGTGGCTGGCCTGTTTTGTGCCTCATTCTCATAACGTTAACCTAAATGGGCGGGGCTAAACTGCTGTAGGCTGAACAGCTAAACGCTGTAGGCCAGAGCCGCGTTCAATGTCAAAACGTTGTGCACCGCTTTGCTACACGTTTCGACATGTTAACCAATAAGCAGCGACGTGTGTGTGTGTGTGTGTGTGTGTGTGTAAACTCCACCGTATTTAAAAAGGCAGCGCATACAACAGATTATAATAAAGTCATCTACAAATACGGCCTGCAGCTTGGTGTATACAACAACTAAGGACACATGTTTGTCGTAAGTATTTTACTATAAGTTTTATGTTAATAGAATAAGCTAATAATTGTTTAATTTTAACATATTATGCACTCTTTGTCATGTTTTTGAAAGCATTTAAATGTAGTTGTTTATATAATTAGCTTCAATTCATCAGGCTATGAAAATTCTTCGAAAAGGACGCTAAGAATGACCTTAGCTGCCATAGTTGCAGCACTCGCGTAACACAAGTGTTCAATGCTCCACCGTTTCCGTTTAAATAAATGTTTTGCTACGTTTTATCAGACTGAAGGCAGCCCAGGAGTGACCAAACGTTTTGTGCAATTTTTGTGGTGGGGTGAGGGCCAGAAAGAAAACAATATATTGAATATACTGTAACGTGGGGGCTTCTCAGAAGAAATTTGGAAGACTTGAAGTTCTGCTTTACCTGACTTAACTCAGAAAACAGCATACAGAGGGGGGAACACACACCTCTAAGGCTAGCTCAGGGCTGTACTGCTAGCTGGCTCTGGCTCTCTCTAGTTCTGCTACAAAAACACAGTCTTGGCAGTTCCTTGCCCTGCCCTTCAGAATAAGAGTCCACAGCAGAATCTAAAACTAACATGTAAAAACACTCCCTGAACACATTACTTAGTGTCTTATTGAACTAAACAGAAACTAGGCGTGGTCTGACACCACAATACAAAGAAAGTAGATGTGTAGAACACTAACACTAAACACTAAAATACAAATTTAATAGAAAGGAAAAGGAAAATAAGAACTGAATAAATTATATTAGTATAAAATGTGTTTGCATTGTCTTTGGTTGAGGGGTGGAAGCCAAATTAAACATCCTTATGAGCCAACTTTATATATATAGATTATTTTGTTTTTGTGACATCACAAAAATGAATTCAAAAAGGGCTGTTTTGCTGCTTAGTTTCCATATATGGACTGGAGAATGAATGGTACATTTTGATGTACCATTGATGTACATGTTGAATGAAAACATGTTTACATGTTTGTATGTGTTTACATACTACATCAAACTTCTTGCTTTCAAAAAGTGAGAAAGTATAGACTTAGAAGTATAATTATTAGTGTAATAGTATAATAGTTTTTATAATTTTTATGTAGAGCAGACAAAACAGTGCAAGGGGAAATCTGTGTAGAAAGTCAGTGTATAACTGGTTTAATCAGAGAAGAGAAAAATCGAGACTGTCAGTATAAAATAATACATAGTTTATTATAATAGTGTAATTTATAAAGACATTTATACGGTAATTACGACCAATTTTTAATAGAAATAAACCAAGGTGCTGTTAATCATAAATCACAAAAAATACAAATCTGGACAGGATATATCTACATTATTTACAAAACTGTATAAAAGTTAAAAACAAATAACTTATCTTGATCAGTCACACTGTGTTGCATAATGCTTTCCTAAGTCATCCTGTGGTATTGATCAAAAAAAAGAAAACAGACATGTTTCACAGTCACATGTAGCGTGATGTCTGATGTGATGTTACTGTGGTGGGTGAGGTGGCTCCAGTCTGTTAGAAAGGGCTGTTAGCACTTTATCAAACTTCTCATAGCGCTCCTCCCTGCTCTCCTCCACCCCGCGGCTGCCCCAAAGGAGACGCATCTGAAACTCTGTGAGGAAAATTTCTAGAAGATCTGGCTGCTCTTGGAAACCTGTAGATGACAAAAAGAACTAATCTTCATGCCAAACCAACAAAAACAGACATGATGAATGTACTATTCATCATCTATGAGATGTACTATGACTGTATCAAAACTTCATAACTCCACATTATTGTACATTATAGTTTTAAATGTTTTTACCTTCTCCTGTAAAAACCTACCATATCAGGTTTTATTATGACAGCAACAACATATTACTGTGTACTTTTATGTCATACATGGACTGAGATACCCCTTACCCTGTAGTTTTGCTTTTGCACTAGAACAGAACGTCTCCCCGTGGCATGCCATGGTACGTGCAGCATCTAAATGACCCAGCAAACAGTCCATCCCAGCGTCCAGACTCTCCCATGACTCCAATCCTTCAAGACTGACTGCACTCTTCTCAAGCAGGAGCAGCACAGGTAGCACGTGGGGGACAGTTGTCTTTGAAGGATCACACATCTCTTCAAGAAAAATATGAAGAGAAGGTGATCAACAGAAAGTGGCATTAAACAGACCTACTGGTATTTCTGTCTTTAGGTTTGGTTATATTATGCAGTGTATCAGAATACCTTTTCCATCATTCAGTCTCTTCAAAAAGGGCCTCAGGGTTTTCTCATACAGGACTGCACTTTCTGTGTATTTCTGGCGTAAAACTGTCCACGTGTCCTCCAACCGTGAAATCTAGAGAAGGGTCAGAGGAGTATTTAGAGCATTGCATACTATTAAAATTAAAGGCTTCTAAATGGTTCTTGGCTTGGAGTGTATTAAGCCCTGATTCACTGATATATTATCGTATTCACAGTTATGACATTTCTCTCCACAGTACATCAGTACTGCCCATCTTTGCTGCATGGACTTTGGCATTATTCCCAAGGTAGAACTCTGTTTTGTTATTTCTACAGTTTTGTAGTATTTACTTCTTAAAATGCATAACATGTACAAACCCAATTAAAAAAATGGGACAGTATGTGAAATGCCAATAAAAATAGAAAGCAGTCTTAGAAAATTCTGTTTGATCTGTATTACATTTAAAACAGGACAAAAACACGTTCCTGAAAACGACGTCGTATAAAAGGCAGCATATGTTGCTCTAAAACGTGTAAATATCTTTCAGCGTTAATGGTGCCTTCACAGATGTGCAAGTTACCCATTAATATCCAACCCCACCCCCCAACCACACTCTGACAGACGCTGACTTTTGAACTTTACAGTGAAAACAGACTGGATGGTCTTTTACTTCTTTGGCCTAGAAAACATGACTTCCATTATTTCCATAAATAATCTGAAAGGTTGACTCACACAATACATTTCCACTGTGCATCAGTCTATATCAGATAACTAGTGTCCAGAGAAGTCAGTGCTGTTTCTGGATGTTGTTAACATATGGCTTCCACTGTGCATAGTACAGTCTTGACTTGCATTTGTGAAAGCAGAAACAAACGAACAAACAAAATATTTATTGAAAATGATTTTTTGAAAGTATTCCTGAGCCAATGTGGTGATATCCATCACAGAAGCCTGCCAGTTTTTAATACAGTGCTGTCTGAGGGATCAAACGTCACAGGCTTTCTCTTGTGTTTTTGGCCTTTCAAAGGATTCCCTGAATCTTTTGATATTATGCATATTTTGGATTATAATCCTTGCAAACAAGTAACATTATGCTTATACTATTGAACTATTTGCTTTGATGTTTTTGACAAAGTGGCAAAGCCATCCTTGCTTATGAAGGACTAGGTCTTTCCTGGATACAACTTTTCTACTCAAGCATCATTACATCACCTCTTTTAAAATGTTTTTGTGGTCTTAAATACACTTTTTGGAATGTGTTGCAGGAATCAATTTCAGAATGAGCATATATTTACAAGAAACAATGAAGCTGATAAGATAAAACATTAAATATCTTTGTATTGCTTTCATTCAAATACAAAGTCAGCGTGGATTTATAAATCACTGCTTTCTGTTTTTATTTGTATTCCACATACTGCTCCAACTTTTTGAATTTGGGTATTTAATAACCATTTAGATTGGAAAATTAAATAAAAGAAGGATGGTCTCTGACTTTTGCACAGTTCTGTCTATGGTCTGAGCGGCTACTGTTCTGATAGCTGATTTTGTACCTGGGGAAGTTCCAAGACTTTCATTACTGCAGTAAAGCCAAACATGTTGCCCAAGTTACTCTTCAGCTCTGAGGCCAGTGAGATAGTTCTGTGCAGTAGAGCTCCTCTTTCCTCCACACTGCCTGTGCAACCTAGCAGCTCCACCGCCAGCATGATGGACATGGTGTGGAACCTGGGGTGAGCAAAGGATGTATATTAGGTCCCATTTCATTTTCATGTAGAGATGTTATTAAGTGTTCGGCTAGTGACAGCAGGAAGATGTTATTAATGAGTGCGCCTAATGAGGACACCTTTCCAGTAGGTCTTGTCGGAGATAGTGGCCATGTGGAAGTGTAAGCAGCTCCATTCCTGAACTCACTCCCATTCCTCTTGTTCGGTCATCAGGAATGTCCAGTATTCGAGCAACCTGCAGATTGGAGATTGTTGGAATAGTCTAAAAAACACTGAATAAAACAATTTTAACATCCAGTCTGCACATTTTTTACTAACACAATTACATGTTGAAAAGAAATGTAAAATCTTTCAGAGTGGTCTAATTTAAAGTGGTGCATTGTAGAGAAATTTACAAAATCAAATTTCTTTACAGTGGTGCTGATGGGAACCAGAGGTCACAATGTCTACCACATAAATATAGCCCTTTTATTTGTGATCCAAAATGAACTGTAAACCTACACGTCTGTGTTTTTATATGTTACTTTGATTATGGTTTGATTATGGTAAAATCTTTCTTTGAAAAATGGGTGGAATTTCTCTTTAATATTAATCAATGTAAATGTAACTAGATTTTATTAATCTAGTCATCATGAAATGTTTATAAGATGTAAGCGGCAGCTACCACTTTCAAGTGGTGTATAAAAATAAAAATGCAAAAAATTACGAGGTTATTTGCGAGGTTTTGGCGTATTGATGATTTGCTTTTGATTATATCCAAACAAAAAACTTGATATTACATTCTCAAGTGACAAAATAAAAAATAGCTGATGTACAGTACACTACAAAAGTGTAACAGAGCACAAGTTGAATTGTTTCTCAAAACTATTTATTTGGCTTTGCACTCTTCATTTAAAGTATTTATTTGAGCTGAATTAAATCAGTTACATTGCTTGCTACCACAGCTTTTAGGATGAACTGACCAGTGGGGGGACTCTCAAGGCCTTCTAGGCTGTTAGAGAAGGCCTAATGTTTTCTATTAAAAAAAAATACTTGTCTCTAGTATTGTTGTTGTTTTTTATTGTTTTAAGCTTTGTTTGGAAACAAAAGGGTTAAATTCTTGAAATGTACAATATGAAATTGTCCAGTCAGGATTTTTTTGCTGTGCTATCTATATGAAGATTCAGCTGAGCAAGCTCTTCCATTGCTTAGACCCCGGAAATGGTCTGAAGGCCTAATGCGTCAGATTAACCAGTAACATAATTAGGAGCTGACAGCGGAATAAACATTTCATGTGTTGATTTCCAATGAGCGGGACCTACTTCAAGAGACTAAACGTCATTCTAGGCCTTCTGGGAGTCCTAGATACATCACTGACTGCAAATACAAACAGTAGTCTAAGCAGATTTCAGTCAGATGTCAGGAATGGAAAACAGCAGTGGAAGCTCTAAGCTATGACTCTTTACTGAAAGAGTCACTTTAAAACTGATACAGACAAAATAAAAATGAGTGTAAGTATGTCTGTTACAAATTCAAATTTAATTTCGAATGTGATTTACAAGCTTATTTTCTGTCTTTAATCTTAGACAGAAAATGTTTCAGTGAATTACCGGCAGCAACGCGGTACAAAAATGTTTAAGTGGATTACCGGCAGCAAAGCGCTAACATACTACTGGAATCCCATAGGGGTGCTAACATATATAATAGAGGTATTTTTTCCTCATGTTGACTTAACCTAACTGAAGGCCTGGTAATGGTTCCCTCTAGAACTGACAAACAATTTTTACTGTGTAAGAAGATGAAAATAATGTATTAATGGGTCAACAAAGAACATCAACCAAGTTTGATTTAGATAGCAATAAACAGTAGGCCTACATATAGTAGGTCACCAATGAATAGTCCTACCATGCAGTCAACTTTGGTGATGTGCATAGCCATTGTTTTCGTATCAGCATCTGTAAGCACCTCCTTAACTCTCCTCAGGACTCTTGTCTCTAGTGGTTTATTCTCTGCAGGGAGCAGGGCTGACTGGTACATGCTGGGGCTGAAACTGGAGGCTGTTTCAGCCACAAGAGGCATTAAGTAATCCTCATTGTCCTCCTCCATGAAACCAGTCACAGTCTGGTCCTCTTGTCCACTGTGCTCAATATGACCAGGGCTGGGTGGGGAGACGGCTGAACTGGACTGCAGGTTGGCGGGCTCTGCAGTTGGGCTTTGACAGGACTTTGTCATGCTAGACCAGATTTTGACTGTGGGCTCTAGATAGATGACAGCACTATCATTAGGGGAGGTGCAGAGCTGTGTTTCAATAGGTTTTTCCAGGACGGGTGATGAAGGGACTACAACAAACTTCCTGTTGCGTGATGGACTCCTTCTACGTCTGTACACTACACACAGACACAGAGAACAGACTTCACAGTTAAAATGTACACTGCTATGCAAGAGTTTGGAATCATTTGGTATATTAATAACGGTTATTTTTCAGTAATTACTAACTGTTATATATAGTGTAGATTGAAATTACAAGTAAACTGTAATTATCTATTTATTGTAAATTCTTGTCGAGGTTATCTTCCTCGAGATTTGATCGCCACTATTCAAATATGAGGCAGCCGGGAGGTTAATTTTATTAAAACCTCATTCTTGATACTGTGTAGCTTTCTTAGCCATTACAGAATCTTAAACAGCTCTGTTCACCATTCTGAACACATCTAAAATGTTTCTGTTTCTTATTTTTCACACCCTGCTTGAAACCCTGCTTGAGTTGTAGAGCACTAGCATCATATTAGAATAATTTCACAGATGTGCAGTGGGGTCCAAACATCTGAGACCACACTGGGACTTTTTCATTTAAACCTGGAAATAAACAACAGAAAGTTGTAGAATTTTGAAAATTATGAAAGCAAAAAGGGCGGCATACCAAACACAAATTAAAATTTCAAAGATTCCACTTTGGAATGAAAAAATTTTAAGTATTTAATTAAAAAAGAATGCAAAATAGAAGCATTTTCACTTGTGGTCTTTTGGACCTCACTGTGTCTGTACAAAAACTTTTTTTATATTATTAAAAACTGTGATTCCAAACTTTTAAACGGTACTTTTTGGTATGGTAGTGTACACAGCATGGTTTGCACCTGAATTTAGTATTTCAGCATGTTTTGTATAGTGTAATACTGTGTAAATAACAGCACTTACATGTGTTTATTGGTGCTGGGGATGTTGTCACCACAACGCGCTGTTCCAGGCTTCCAGCAAAGCTCTTGACTGCCTCCCTGTGTTAAAAGAGTGAAAATAAAACTAAAAGATCACTCCAACCATTTCAGCCTTCTCTCAGTGAATGACCTCTTCACTGAATCAAAACATTGATCATTTCATCAATCCAGCAATTCTAATTTAAAAGGAATTCAAATAAATGTAAAGGGAAATTCCACCAATTCAATTTTTTTTTCCAAATTTCTACATAATGAAATGGTTAAGATGTAAACAAAGTCATTCAGAATGGTCTGATATGGAATTCTACCAAGATCGAATCGTTCACATTGGTGACAGGATATATACATTCATGATGGAGAGGTACATTTTACTATCAACAGTACATATAAAAATAAACACATGCAGGTTCATTGGTGGTTTTGGATAGTAAATAAATTGGCTATATTTATGTAGTAGACATTGTGACTCCTGGTTTTGATCACTGTCAGTAAGTTTCTCTACAATGAACCATTTCACATCAAACCACTTTGAATGACTGTTTACATCCACTGAAATATTGAAATTCTGGAGACAAATTGGTGGAATTCTCCTATGATACATCCAGTGAGCAAAATAACTTTTTAGCCATATCATTTGATCAATGTGATTTGTGCTCAGGCAAGCTCAGAAAACATAGACCATATATAGACCATAGTTTTACATATAGACAATAGTAAATTAAGATTCTTCTCACCTTTGGGGGTTTATTAGCTCTATTGCCAGAGCTTCAGTCGCTGCTTTGCTTTCTCTTTTCTTCAGGCTTCCCTTCCTGTGCGTGGGGGAGGTTACTGGAGTCCCCTCCGGACTAGCCTGGCCAAACATTGTCTCTAGATAACGCAGTGGTAGAGTTCTGTTTACTGGGGAGTAAACATGCGTCCCACTCTGCTTGGTTAAAGCTGTCTGACTGCCCACATAGAAATGAACCAAGGCTTGAATGGAGTCAAACGTTTCCCCTTCGAGAATGTATTGCACTCGTGTGTACGTATCACTGGATCGCAGCAGAACTTTGCTGATTAAGAAGTGGAGAGGCTTCTGATTCCAGCGGCTGGTTAAGACGTAGTCTCCCAAACTGGTGAGAGAATCGCGAATCAGGAAATCCCCATCCTCAAGCACCAGAGACTCTGCTACCTGCAGTGTGGGAAAATGGGAAATAATGTAGTTTTCCAAATATAATTACATTCCAGCACTGCGGGAGGGCACATCTCAACATGCATAATATGCCTATTCTTAGAGAACATTACTCAATTAATCCCTTGAAGACCTGTGTACACTACCCAGAGATGTGTTTATCGTTTTCATTTATTTTAGAACCATTGAATTAATCTCTTAAACTTATATTAAATGTTCAGTTATTACTTCATATAAGGGCCCATAATCTACATTTTCTTGCACTATATTGCACTTATAATGTTTAAGACTGATATATGTAAATAACCTCTTTCCTGATTGGCTGTCCTCTTGGCTGAAACACTCCTTATAACTTTAGCACGAATGGATGGAGCTAAACTGAATGAACAGGTCAGTTTAGTATATATTGGGCGGAAGGCAGGAAACACCCTGGACAGGTCACCAGTCTATCACAGTGTATACATATATATTATTTGGATGGTAGCACTGCACTCACACTCACTGTCTTCTCTGTTAGACACTCCTACCTTGTTGGTCCATCTTGTTAGTAAACATTGTAGAGCTAATAAAATGGACAGTGAGTGTAAATCCCTTCATGATGAAATTTTCCCATAAAGTAAAGGACAGCTGCTGTGCTCAAATAATGCAGAAAAATAAAGTGTTTTTGACAGCAACAATATACAACTGACGTCACAAAAACAAGTGATTCAAAATGGGTGTTTTTGTAGCTTGTTTTCCATATATGAACTGTATGGACTGGAAAGTGAACAGCAAGTTAGAAATATTAATATAACAGTGTTTTTATACTACATCAAACTCTTTTAAAAGTGAGAAAAATCCAGTTCTCTTTAAGATTTATTATTCAGTAATAATGCTCATTGATATATCATGTAAATTGGTATTCCTCTTATTGGTGTCTCAGAACAATATTGATTTTTAGTGTTAGCGGTATTGATATACCCAACTTTTGTTGCTGAGTTAAAAGAATAGCTCATGTGTTAAGCCTTTGGTTGTTTTACTAAAGATTTTGTTCATTGTCCTAATTTTTGTATATTTGTATATATTTTGTCAATACCGCCCCTAACACTATCAATTATTCTGTAAGTACTATGAAACTAATATGTAAGTTATGTAGTTATGAGAGGGAAAAACTGAAATGCAAACCCACATACAGGCCCTTAGGGTTTAAGGGGTGAAACCTACAGGATGTCCGTTTTCATTGTTTGAGCACCAAATTATTGGCACTATAGACTGGCTGATCTAACCGCAATCTAATGCTTTGACTCACCTCCCATGGTATACGGCCATGATACCAGCCGTGGCTTTGAATATTACTGCTGCTGAGTTTCAGCTCTTCCTCCAGTTCTTTCCGCAGCTTCTCTGATGGAGTGTCCAGCAGGCACGTCTCTTTCGAAAACTTCCAAAAGGAAAGAAAATAAGGATCCACTCTTGAAATCATTGAGATCATTCCTCCATAAGAGGCCAAGAAATCTGTTTTGTTCCTGCTCTCCAAAGCAAGGCTGCCCTTCTCAACTGGACAGTCTCCTCACTTCTTACACCTCCAGTTTTGGGCAGTTGTTATGGTGACATCACTCTGGGTTACAATGCTTAATTGACCAATATATCACTGAAGCAATCGCTTAACCTCGACATCATTATAAGGGCTCACACAAGGACCACAAAAAAGAGGAATGCATGCGAGCCCCATGCTCTAGACCAAAGATATTTGGATATTTATCAATGTTTATTCGCAACTGTAAACTTGATTTGTGAGAATTTATACTGTGGGAACATGTCTTAAGGGCTGATGAACTATTGTGTGGTAAGACATAGACAAAAGACAGTGAATGGTGAGAAGGCTAAAAACAATCAGTGCCCCTAAGATGAGAAGTCCAAGCATAAAGGAAGCCAGTATCCAACTATTTTTTTAGTTACGATATAGTAAGCGCTCACATTGAGAGCGGTTGGTTGCCTATAGAAACCCGAGCTGACTGCAGGCATTCTGAAGACACGGGCAGTGCTCCAAGTCCTTTTGTGTCACCCATCTTAATTCAATTAGAGCTGTACTGAGATTCCTCCCTGTGTCTGGCGCTCCGTGAAGGAATTCAAGTACAACAAACACTAATAAAAAAAAAACAACAACACACAGAGCTGAAATTTACATCCCTCCGGACTAATGAGCTAAACAGTTTCTCCTAGAAGCCTGAAAACAGAATCTCTTTAGAAACCCAAAAATGGAATATTTTGGAAGCGCAAATACTGAATATGTTAGAGGCTCAAACAATGAATCTTTTTATAAGCTGAAAAATGGAATCTTATTAGAAGTCTGAAAATTGAATCTTTTTACAAATATTAAAACAGAATCTCTTGGAAGCTTAAAAAATCAATCTTTTTAGAAGGCCAAAAACTGAATGTTTTTAAAAGTCGAAGTGCTGAATATTTTATAAGCCCAAATATTGAATGTTTTTATAAGAACAAATACTGAATTTTTTAGAAGCTTGAAAGTTGCATCTTTTTACAAACTCAAAAACTGAATCTTTTTAGAAGCCCAAAACTGAATATTTTTAGAAGCCTGAAAACCTAATCCTTTTAGATGTCTGAAACTAAATCTTTACCCAAAAGCTGAATCTTTTTAGGAGCCTAAAACCCCAATCCTTTTAGACACCTAAAAACTGAATCTTTACCCAAAAACTGAAACTTGTTAGAAGTTCAAGAACTGAATCTTGTTAGGAGTCTGAAACCCTAATCTTTTAGATGCCTGAAAACTGAATCTTTACCCAAAAACTGAATCTTTTTAGAAAGCCCAAATAATTAATCTTTTTAAAAGCCCAAATACTGAATATTTTTAAAGTCGCAAAACTGAATCTTTTTAGGAGACTGAATAGTAAATCTTTTTTAGAATCCTAATAAGCAAATATTTTTAGAAGCCTGAAAACTGAACTTTTGCTCACCATATCCAGTCTCACCCCAGGAATTAACAACATTTTTCACAAGTAACATAAAATAACTCACCATCACATATTCGCCTTTGTTTTCCATGGAATCCAAAGGTCTAGGAATAGAAAAAAAGCAAAGTTAGAGTGTAATCTATGCAACATTACATGCCATAAATTGTTGTAATATAAAAATAGTTCTTACAATAAACACACATACATCTGTTTGCATATATATCTGCGCAGGCTGTCTAAATGTACTGTATACTGTGTTTATGTGTACATGCCAGGTGGCTGCAGGACAGGAAATTGTCAGAGGGACAGACTGTGCTGCTCTTTCCCATGACCATTCGGATCCGTAGTGCATCGGGGGGCGGTGTTACGCAACTCAGCGCATTTATAGTTTGGCCCAGTAATGTTAGACACACACACACACACACACACACATGACACCACCCAGTAACAGCCATGATCCTTCCCAAACACATCTTCTCCACTCCAAAAAGGGAAAAAAAGCCTTTGTGTGAGTCTGGCTGGATATTTTTGAGATTGCAACAGTCGTTTTATGGACCTTTATAATCAAATCAATATTCTTTTACAATTTGCTGCTTAGCTTTTGCTTTTCGTATAAGAAAGCATTTAGTTCTTGGCCATGAAAACAATAAACAGTTTACAGATGTGTTTTCACAAAGACGTACATTTAGTCCTCCTGTAAACCCACAAGCCAAATCGAAGCCCTACATGACAAACCAGGATGGAAGAAAAAAACAACATGACAGCTACATCCTGCCATATCGTGGGCTCACTGCCCAGATTACATCTGTTTTTGTCAGAATAACATAGGTATACTGGGAAAATAGTGCTATGAATGTGTACATAGCTTCCACACAAATAAAATATATTACATCAACAGAATTTTTGCTGACTGTATATCCAAACTTTTTATACACCTGTTCTTAAGTGTATTAATAGTGAGTTTTTCCTCCTTCACAGCTATAACAGCCTCTACTTTTCTGGGAAGACCTCACTTAAAGTTGGAACACTGTTTTGAGGATTAGATTGTATTTAGCCACAAGAGCATTAGTGTGGTCAATAACTGATGTTGGCTGATTAGTTCTGGATCACATACACCACTCCAACTCATCCCAACACTGGATGGTGCTCCATCACTTCAATGAACGCAGTTCCACTGCTCCAAAGCCCAATGCTGGGGGCTTCATACCCCTGTAAGTGATGCTTGACATTGGGTATCGTGACCTTAGGCTCATGAGCACTCCAGAGCGACCCCATCTATTAGCAGTGCTTTTCTATTGAGATTATACAACTTGTGAGTGCGCAGTTGAACACCCAAGTCAGCAATGGGTGCATTAGAAAGTCACTATTCAGAAAGGTTGTCTGGATACTTTTGGAAATGCAGTGTAAGTAAACTGAAAGACAAAACTGTGTTGATATAATACAGCTGTAAACTTTACAGTAAGCAGGCAATCTGAGAAATGTCACTGTAACAAACTTTGCCAGCATGTGAATCAAGCCCTTAATCTAATTTGACATGTTAGTAAACAGTTCCTGCCACTGCGTATGTACTGAAAAACAGTTCATCATTCCGAAAGCCAAAGAAGCATACCAGGGTGGAATGCTCACCAAAGCCATGTGTTCATTTATTTATTAGTATTAGTATTATTTATTTATTAATAATAAATCTCCAGTTTCCAAAAACACTCCTGATATCACATCTAATATTGATGTCCAGTATGAAAAGCCTGCTCTCTCTCATTGTGGATGTGCTGGGCTTTGCTTTATTCACTTCACACTGAGAAACTCAAACCACATCTGAGCCCAAAGCAACGTCACGCTCTAAAAGTGCAGCACAAAAACAAGTTCCTAAGCTCAGGTCTTACATAACCACACTTCTCTGCCTGAAACTTTCTCTCCTCTGCAAGACCACCACAAACCCCATTTATTCTGACTCTTCTCTGACAGTTTGCTCATCTTGCTGCCAAAGTAGTCTAAAACCATCCTCAAGTAAAAGTCTGTTACTTCAATTAACCCACGACACGAAATAGCAAGCAAAAAAAGCAGCTAGCAAAAACAACTTGAGTGGAAATAAAAGAGTTGAGCTAAAAATCTCCTCAGGTAGCTGAATCCCCATGGAATCTATCAGCATAGGAAATCAAACGTGTGTCTTGTTAGTTTGTCATTCGTCTCTATTTGGGGGCATTTTGATCTTAAACAACATGCTAAAAAGTGAGGATGCGAGCAACAGCGAAGCAGTAACGGCTTCTTGCTCTAATTTTCCCGTTCCACCTTAAATGGTGCAGCAGCTACACTCTGGCGCCTCAGGCCTGAGGCGTCGGAATGTAACTGCTGCACCATTTAAGGTGGAACGGGAAAATTAGAGCAAGAAGCTGGCGGATAGGCAGCCAACTTCAGCCTCGTGGAGCAGCACAGGTGCTGAACCAACAAAACGATGGAAAAATACAATAATACGTTAATAAAAAGGAAGTAAGAAATAAATAAGAAGGATTAAATGAAATCGCTGAAAAAGTGCATTCCTTTCTGCAAAATACATTTGAAATAACTGAAAACGCTCGTAACAGGGCGTATCAATAAGAAGTCCACGTTATTGAGTAACTGCTCAGGCTATCCATAAATAAACAGTCCTTACAACCACGTAGATTTGTATATCTTACCTTAGGGGTTAAAATAAAGCAGAAATGTAGTGTTTAAAGTCAATGTGAGCAGCTCCATGATTTGAAAAGCGTTTCTGTTTGGGATCGCCTGTCAAATCTGACACTTGTAGGAGCGTAACATTGCGCATGCGCACTGGGCAGCGAACCGAACTGGACTGAATCGAATCACTTTTCCGCTACTGAGGAGCTGTTTGATTGGGCTGGTGTCCAGTCCCGTTCTGAGGAGGCTCCGTCACGGTTTCGAAATACATTACAGAGCCTAGGATATCACAATAGATAGCACAGGACAGAAATAGCTCTCGGTTTATTTAGAACAGAAGACCTACGCAGCTGTCTGTAATACCAGTCAGTTCTTTGTGTTATGTACACGATGAATGGCTGTCTTTTTTGCTTAAAACTCAGTTTGTTTTGCTGGGATGTTTGTTTACTTGTCTCGGATTCAATACCTTATTCATCTCAATGGAGGTATTATTACAGCTGCATCAGAGAGAGAGAGAGAGAGAGAGAGAGAGAGAGAGAGAGAGAGAAAGAAAGAGAAAGAAAGAGGGAGGAGAGAGAGAGAGAGAGAGTGAAAGAGAAAGATAGAAAGAGAGGGAGAGAGAGAGAGAATGCGAGAAATGAGGGATTAAAATGTGCACAAAAGAAACGTTTTGAGATATTTTGGATGTGTGAGGTTTTTCTTTCCTCTTATGGAAAATTATTCATGTGCACAAGAAATCTTGCATAATAGTTAACAGAGGGATTGTAATGAATGTTGATGTTTTACGTGCAGCCTAATCCAACACATTCCTGGCACTTATGGAGCTGTAACTTTATCGCAGAGGAAATGGAACATTTCTTGCATATTTTTCACATGAGTCAAGAGTTGTGAAATAGAGACTTTAACTTACAGCATAGTCTTTGTCTGGGCTTCTCAAGTAGCACAGAGGGAACTCTATAGGCCTCCACTATACCATTCATATGTGCTTCACTCTCCCAATAATAACTCTTTGTCAGAGAGCAGCTGAATAGCTACAGTTGACTCAGAGTAAGTTCGGAAAAACAGAAACACATCTAAAACTTTAAGTATAAATTAAACATACTGTTGTTATTTTATACACGGTTCGAATTACATATGCAAGCTTAAATGGAAGTCACACTAGTAATATTAACATAGATTGTGCAGGCTTGTGTTGCAGAATAGGTTGTTAGAGTGCCTGAGCACTTGCCCCTCACTTGCTCTTTTGTGATGCTGATGGAAGGTTTTTCCTTACTGTTTTATTACTGTCAGAATTTATTGCATTCAACCTCATAAGCATTAGTGAGGTCAGGTTCTGATGTGGATGATCAGTTCTGGATCACAAACACCACTCCAACTCATCCAGAGAAGGCATCAATCCAGAGAACACAGTTACTTTGCTCCACAACCCAATTATGGAGGGCTTTATGCCCCTCTAGCTGATGCTGGGCATTGGCGATGGTGCCCTTCCCAATGCTGATGCCATTTTCATGGTGACATTCATGTGCAGCAGCTACAGAGCATCTTGTTCTATTTACAGTGCTTCTCTATGGAGATTATATAAGCTTTGTGCACAAGTAAACACTTGTGTCAGCAATGGGAGCCTCTTAAAGTGGCTGAATTCAGTAATTAGAATGGATGTCTGGATACTTTTGGATATATTCTGTAACACTTTTGCAATTTTTTTTTTTTGCAGTTAAACATTTTCTATATAATATGCAATATATGTTATTGGTATTAATGCTTTAAATTCTTGCCACTGTATTGTGCTGTGCAAAAGTCAGAGACCACCCTTCAATTATTTAATTTCCAGTTAAACTGGCCATTAGTTATTCATTTTTCATGAGATACTTCTGAAGAGATTAGATATTAAATAATCCACTTGCATAAGAAAAAGGAAAGCCAATAGAAAATAAGCATAACAAAACAAAACAAACCACAACAACAATAAGAAAAAAGTTTTCAGGTTATATGTTACAGAAAGAGTTGGACTCTCAACAGCTAGACCACCAAATGTGTCACCATCAGATAAACAGTACTTAAAGCTTTCAATTTTGAGAGAGAGGAGAAAATCAAGGTCCACTCTTCTTCAGATATGAAAAAATCCACAGGTGTTTCTGCCCAGCTTTCCACTGTGAGAAGACAACTCAGTGTTGTATCTATGGGTCTGAAAGGATGTGTAGCTGTCAAGAAGCCATTACTGAGAAACTGAAATAGATAAAAAAGGAAAAAAAAGCTAATCAAGCAAAGAATCTGCTAGTGCTCTCAGAACAACAGACTGACCACCTCAGAGTCCAAACCTCAACATCAGTGAATGTGTTTGAGATAACTTGGATTGTGAGAAGCAGAAAATGCAACAAACTTCTAAGACTAAACTTTTGAGGTGCGGAAAAATATCCCTGCAGATTTCTTTGAAAAATTGAAAGCAAATCTCCTGAAAAGGACGGAAGCTGTTATAAAAACACATTAAATGCTGAAAAATGTGATCTTATATTTAGTTGTTGAAGCTTCTGTGTAATTTTGTTAAGGCTGTTTCATTTTGATCCTCAAAAATGAATAATTTGTGCTTAATGGCCATTTTGACTGGAAATTAAATAAATGAATGTTGTATCTGACTTTTGCGCACTATTGTATAGCATTTTATAGAATGTATATTATTATGATAACAACAGTAACATTTGCACTTTACTAGAGCATTCCGATTTATAAACGTACAGTTGCTTGATCCATTCAGGCTGGTCTCTTCCCTGCTGGAAAAAAAAAACAAAAACAAAAAACAGCTTAAACCAGGATGAACATGCTGGTCTAAACTGGTTGTTGCTGGGTTATGCTGGTTTGGTGCTGATTTAGGTGGTCACTCAGCTTGGTCATTCTGGTTGACAAGCATACCAGCAACCAAAACACAACATATGCTATTTTTTCTGGTGACCAGCAGTGCTAGTCTATGTTGGTTTTGCTATCAGGGTTAGTAGCATAGAAACACTGAACAAAAGCTGTGGTTTAGAATACACCTAGCTAACACACTGTCCTTGATACAACGATGTAATATGATACGTTGTATTGTTACACCCCATTTAATATCACACATAGAGTATAAAAAGGTAAAATGTTAACCTGAACCACCTGCTCATAAAAGCCTCTACACGTCCCTGCAATTATGACTGGAAGTTTTATAATCTACCCGTTTTCCGTCACCAAGCCTCGCGGAGAAGGCGGGGTTTGGCGGAATACGGGTCGGAACAAAAACAGTCAACTCCGTTCTACTGCGGTCACGTGACATCCTTGGCAACCAACGGCAACCTCGTCATTTGTTTGGTTGCGGAGTTTAACAAAACTTTAGTGAGGCAGAAAGAGAGTCAGCTATGCCTCCTAAAAAGAACGGAAAGAAAAATGCAGACAAGTCCACCAAGAAAGAAGGCGAGGGGTCTGGAGAGAAACCCGATGCTGATGATGTTTTATCCGAGGGCAGTAAAGAATTCTACCGAGCTCAAATACGAGATTTGGAGGAGCGAATAGAAAAGTGAGAGAACTGGAGCCAAACGTTACACAATGCTAATGTCATAGACAGCGTTAACATTTAAACCAGTGCTGAATTGAGAACAGATGTGAACTACTTGAGCTTATTGTTAGAAGAGATTTTTAGTAGGCTAAACTTACGTTAACCGTATAGACATCAGTCAATCAGGCTTACCTGGCAAGTTGAAGTAGTAAGAAGAGTGTAAAAGGTTCCAAAGTTTGTTTCTCTGTCGAAAAACCTATTTTTTATGACGTTTGAAAGACGAAATTTACCTTTACATTGACTTCAGAATTGCTGTCTTTTAACCTTGTCCATCTTCAGGGCAGGAAGGAAGTTGAAATGAAACTAAGACCTTAGATCATAGTCTGTTCACAAATAATTAACCAGGTATAGCACCTCGCCCTTATGGAATAGCAGGTGACTCATTGTAGTAACACAGGAAACATGTCCCTTTACGAATCATGATCATAATCGGCCCCCTTTCCTTTTCTTGCAACTAGGTATCAGCATAAATGTGATGAGCTCGAGGTCCGGGAGAAGGATTTCTCCACTAACTACAACAATGTAGAGAGAGAGAAGAAGGACATAGTCCTCTATCTGAAGCGCTCCTTGGCCCACAAAGAGGACGAACTCACTGACCTCTCAGAGAAGCTTCTGGCATTACAAATAGCTAAAGATGAAGAGAAGGAGTCGTTTGAGATGCAGCTGAGCGCTCTACGACATGAGTTTCAGGAGAACAAGGACAAGCTCGTGTCAGAGAACATGGCCCTAGGTATAAACCACCACTGACTTAGAGACTAGGCATCTTTGGTCAGTCTTGTTTTGGTTAAACGTTACCTTTATCATTGACAGTTTAGGCTATTACACTTCAGGCTTTTGTAGTGTGACAGTTCTATTCTTATTGTTGTTGATGGAGTCCCTCAGACCAGGTTTTGCCCTTTTGTCTTGCCAGCGGGGAAGCTTGCATCTCTGGAGGAGTTCCGCGTGCAGAAGGATGAGATCATGGCCTTGCTGGCATCTCTGAAAGAACAGCTGGAGCAACAGAAGCAGGAACACCAGACAATCATTTATAACCTGGAGAGAAAAGCTGTCCTGGACAATGACAGGTCTGTTTGGCCATAGTCATCACAAATCGTGCATCTTTTGATGAAAAGGCAGTCGGTCTGGATCAACCTTTGAGCTCTAGGTTTGTCAACAAATGCAGGTGTTCTTCAGGGGACATTCTTGGGTGTGAGCCTTTAAAAGGTCACTCCAGCCAAAATGAAAGATGTTAAGCATTCTTGCATCTATTGTAAACATGCCTAACTACCTCTTACAGTGGAGCCACAATAATCTCCAGAGTGAGATTTTCCAGTTTAAAGACTAGAAAAATCCTCTTCTGATGATGTAGCTTGAAGGTGGGAGGAACTTTTGATGAACTACGCTTTGCGGCAGATACATGAGGACGAGCTGTTTATAACGTTTTTTCTTTTTTCCGCTAGCTGGATAATGCAGATGGAATCCATATAGGTAATGTTACTAGGAAGCTGAATATCACACCTGTATTTATTAGCTTCTACATCAGTGGCATATCAGTGGATTTTTTTTTATTGTCATGGGGGAAATCCAGTGGTTGAATGACATTGATGGACCAAACGCAGAAAGGATACAAAATCATGAATTCCATCAAAACGATGAGGCTGAGGATCCCAGTGCTGCACTGCAGAAAACTCTGTAGTATATAACATGAAAAATAACATGTTAAATGCTGGTTTTATGCTGAAATACCCATTTAAAGATCCTGTGTCCTGTTAAAGGGACAATTCTTGAAGCTTAGTTTCCATATATGGACTGTATGAACTGGGGAGTGAAGAGTATGTTTTGAAACTTTAATGGTGTTTACATTCTACATTGCACTCTTTTATTTGAATACTATTATTATTGTTTCATTTACATAATTTAATGCTATAATTTGCAGTACTTTAAATATAGATATGGAGTTGACATTGTATTCTGCTATAGCTAAATCAAACCTTGCATGATAATTTGACTAATTTGGCTAAAGGCATTCCCATTACAGATCTAAAACAAACAGATGAAGAGTTTCATTGAGTGAAGTAGGTGACCTGCTTTTAGAGACAGTCAACTTCAGATACAGCCAATTTTCTACAGGTTGTAAACAGCTGTAATGGCTGTGATGAATGTTGTAGAATAAAGATAAATGTCCGCACACTGTTTTAACAAAGCTCCCTCATTTATTATAGCAACGTTTCGACCACTACAGTCTTCATCAGGCAAAAGGTGTGGTGAATGTTGTGCCTCAGAGATGTTCAGAAATGCTAATTAAACTGAAGCAAATTGAATATTTTTCTGTGTTCAATCCAGTAAACACTGGGTGTTTAGAGGATGACAAGTGTTTTGAAATTTTGGGCTGGGTGTCATTCAAAATGTTTTGATGCAGATACCAATGCTGAGACTTTGATATCTATTCCTGAATGATAGTTTTTGATACATTCTTTTAAGGTACAAACTGAAATTGGCTTAAACCCGAAATAACGTTTATTTACTGACCGTGATGGATTGCAGACTAACCAAGAAGCACTGACATTAGGCAGCCAATGACCAGTCTAGATTTTGGAACAGGCATGCTTATTGGCACAGGGATGCTGATAAGGCTGACTACTTAAGTACTGAAACTTGGCATTGAATAACATTGAATTTTTCGATAATCTGCAAGTACTATATATCAGTGCCCATTCCTAATTATAATTCTACCTTTGGTACATTTGGTGGCGGTATCAAAGTCAAACCTGGGTATTGTAATTGCCCTATCATAAACCTGAGATTTGTGATATATCCTCCTGTGCAGACTAAAGAAAGAGATGCAGCAGCATGTGGCTACTGTCGCAGCCGAATTTCGCCGAGTCTCAGACAGGAGGATGCCAGAGACAACAATGAGGGCCATCCATGAGAATGTGTCAGTGACGGCTCAGCTCAGGCAGCTCTCAGACAAGAGCAAAGAGTTGCTGGTGGAGAACGATTCTCTAAAAGCCAAAGAGAAACAACTCAGCAGAGAAACAGAGATTATGGAGTCTCTACTGAACGAGATGACCATGAAGAGTGTCGGAAATCAGAAGGTTTGCAACAGAATGCTCATTTTATAGCCTAAGTTGATACTTATCTGTTGTGCCATGGTATATACATGGGCATTGATGGATAAGATGCTGTGTTCTTCTCCTGGAAGGTGGTGCAGCAGCTGACGGAGAAGTGCAAACAAATGCATACTGAGCTTGAAAACTTTGCTAGGCATAAACAAGAGCACCAACAGCTGCTGGATGACCACACTGCGCTACAAAAAGAGCATGATGACCTCAGGTGAGCTCATCAGTACAGGGTTCTTTCAACACATATACTGCCCATAAAAGTTTGGGGACACCTTACATTCTTTTGAATTCCTAGCAGAATTTGATTTTCATGGTTATTTACCTTATAAATAAGAAAAAAAAGACCTGCAAAGATTTTGTTAACATAAAGCAGCTACTACTAATATGTTTGCAGTTCTTGCAAGGAAAATGGCAAGACAGTTGTCTGATTCATATCTTAAATGGGAAATTCCACTAAGTTTTTAAATACTGCATAATTAAATTGTTGCAATGTAAACAAAGTTATTCAGAGTAATTTGATATTTATTTTAGTGAAATTGACTCTGATTTTCTTTACAGTGTACTACACAATTTGTACAACACACATGTAGACATTTTATTTGGTTTTCAAAATGACCAGTGAACCTAAACGTGTCTTCTAAGAATAATAGAGACAAACATTAATCTTGGCATCAAATCATTGCTTAAAATCACCATCTGTTTTATTAATTCACTGATTTACTCAGACAGACACATGAATCACATATGGGCACACTCAAGCGAAAGCAGGCTGAGGCAGAAAGACTGAAAAAGGAGCTTGAAAAGGAGAAGATGCAGCGAGAGCAGCTGGAGACGGTTCAGCAGGAGGCTGCTGTGGCTTTAAAGGAAGCTTTGAGGGTAATATTGCAAGTGATCAAGCATCTATGGAGTGATGAAGCTGTTGAATTGAATGAGCAGTGGTTTTAATCACTTTGGTCCCCACAGGAGGTCCCTAAAGAAGAAGACTCCAATGTGCAGGCTGTTGTCCGGCGAAGTCAGCTGATGCAGAAACTCCTAGCCATGCTGGACAATGCTGCAGCCATTGGCAAAGGCCCTGTGCTTTCTGATTTTATCCCCATTACAGACCATACTGATGAACCCACAACAGGGCAAGGCATGGAGAGGTAGACACATCCACTACAAAGATACGTCATATTTTATCAAGTTTATCACATCAAACCCAAATATTCGTTTATGTATGAATTATGTGAGTCAGTAGAGCTCTGAATTCAAACATTATTTTGTAGTCAGCAGCTTGCTCATACAAGGATCTCTGGGATCTTGGTGTTTTTTTTCTCTATAGGGCAAAATGAATGGCACTTTCAAGAATTGCTCCTGTCACACTAGGTCCTCTGAATTAGTCATTAAGTAGTCAAAATACAAAAATTTCTACAAGAAAGCTAACGCTCCTCCTGCACATTGAAATGACATCACATTAAAGTTTAATACAGTTCTTCAACTTTATTCAGTAATAACACCAGCTACTCAAAATGTCGGCTGCTACGTGCCAAAGCCCCTTATCTACCACACTGGCAAGGTGGCCAGAGTTATGATGTCTGCTCACTGTGAAGAAGTGCTAGCTTGCATGTAGCAATATTTGTATTCCAACTACAACGACCTTGTAATTCAGAGTATCTAGTGATATTTGGAGTAAACATGTACATACAGCAAAACATATTAATTTTGGATCGTTTTTGTTTACCACAGGATGTGATGGCATTGATTTTATTTTTCCCATAGGGACAAAGACATGGAGTTCCATATATGGACGCATTGCCAACTACATAATTACTACACTACTTCAGAGGTCTATTTGATTGCGATTCTTTAAGAAATGATTCAATGCATTATCTCACACAATTTGAGTATTTTGCTATGATTCAGGATTACTTTTAAGATGATATAGCATCAGAAGAAGCGTGACCAGGAAGGATTTTGAACCAGTGGAAATGTTGGAAACTCACACTTATAGCATAAGGTGTTAATGCTTGGTGGTTAGCCAAAAGACTGCCCACCAGTGCTAAACTAGCAGGGGTGATGAAGTCACTTACAATTCTTGTGAAACAGTAATGTAAACAATTACCAGTCAGACTCACTAGTATAACCAGCCTTTTGCTGGTTATATGGTACATATATAACCAGTAGTGCACAGTGCAAGCTCCAGCCAGCAGTAGCCAAAACAGTTCTAGACCTTGAAAGGAGTCTCACAGGACAACAAAATAGAACATGCATAGGAGCTAGACACACACACACACACACACCTCACAGTCATGACAAGACAAATGTGACTTACACAGTAGTGGAATATGGAAAACAAAAAACAATATTCCATTTTTTAAGTTTAAAAATTTGCCCAAGAATTTTATTTTGGCCAAAACAATGAGCTTTTTTATATTATTATAATCAATTATAATCGATTCTGACTTTCCAAAATCGATGCAATTGAATTACCACCTTCAGACCAATGTATCAATATGTTTAAGTGCCCTGCTAAACATTCTGTGCATTGTCTAAACCATGGTTTCTCAACCACTAGGCTGTGGACAAGTGTGCTGCAAAGCCCCCACTGGTGATCCTCGGGCCAATACTGAGTGGGAGCCAGTGGTCTGTAGAGGGCTGGTGATGGCACTTTGTCAAATAAATCAGTCAAAAAGTAGTTGGCTTAATCTTTTTGCTTCCCACAATGTTTCACTCATCCAATTGGGAGTGACTGGTACAAAAATATGTTGTAGAAACATTCTGCTTAATTTGCCTCCATTCTACTTGGCTTCTGGTATAAACAAGCTTAAGTTATCCCAGTCTGCTGATTGATTATTATTAGTAGTACTAATAGCAGTATTATTAGTAGTAGTATATCTATCATGTAAAATGAACTACATACAAGTTTCAATTCTGTTTTTTCTTTCATTATGTTCTGAAAAAAATCATAATATGGTCTCTGCCTTGACTGCTTCTCACCTCCTGACAACTTGGGTAATGACAGAAAACTTAGATCTAAAGCTATAAACAAAAAATAATTTATTTTCTCATTTTCAATTTTTAAAATTAAATGTTTTTTGTGATTGGACACTAATGAATGATCTGATCTTTAAGCTATTGTTCAGAAACAAAAGATATTTTCATGCTTTCTTGTCATAAATAGGTGGGCTTTTAATTAGAAAGGGTGTTCTAAACAAAGCAGTAAAGGAATATGCCTTGCATTTGAGGAAACAACAGTGTTGTGCTGTAGTATTTCTCATATTTGCTTGCTTTCCTTTTGAAGACCGGGACTTCGTGCCCCAGGGCAGAAGACTACCTCGCGCCTCTCTCATTTCAAGACTGGAGACCTGGGGCTGGTCCCACGACAAATAAACATGCGCAGCTCTGTCCTGTCCAAGATAGGACCCCTCTCCAAAAGCACACAGCTTCATCTGCAGAGGTAGATTATATGCATTTGATCACTTACATAACCTTCCCTGTCATATCAAAACCTTGTAGTTTTTATTCTTTTATAGCGATTGAAAACGGCAACTGCCCCTTACATCATGTAAACATTTTGTGAAGAATGGACTAATGGAAATGGCCTAAAATTGCTTGAAATTATATCTTCTTACATTAATGTGCATTGAAGCACTGAAGTTGAGAAAGGATGTTACCATGTTAGAGATTAAAGTTTTGTTGACAGGCACAAAATATGGACTACTCACAATGGAAGATGTAACAGGAACTACATAATTGGGAACCATATTCTGCTGCAGTCATGTTTTAAGTAGCATTGACTTCATACACCAACCTGACTCCAGACTTTTTAAGTTACGAAAGTGAACATCGTGTACCTTTAAAACTCATTTAAAGTTCACAGTTGGACCTTAAAGACAATTTTGGAGGACTAATATTTACCTGATCTAACCCCTTTTCTCACAGTGTAGTTACTATTTACTCTAAGTTGTTTTTTTCTTATTTCTAAAGGAAACTGCAGAGCCAAAAACGGAATAACCCCCCCAAACCGCTAGCTGAAGATGACACATGTACCCTGCAGCCTGAACCTTTCAGCAGCAGTCCAACAGCATCCCTCAGATAATCAAGAGAAGCTCCTGTGGGTCCACAACTGCTCTTTGCAGACTGTTTGACTCTTTAACTGTTTAAAAGGGAAAATACATTCAGTAAAGACTGCTTAATGTTATTTCTTTTGAAACCATTTCCCCCTGACATCATGTTGTTCCCTATTATTCTTTGGTCCCTTCTGATAGTAAACCAGGCTTTTGATTTTCTGCCACTAGATGGCAGCATGACATCCTTTATAGAGCATTCAGCTTTTCAAAATTTGGTGATGAACTTGGCAATTTGGCATTAAGATGGCAGCTGTCAGTGTCATTAGAATGTATCCAATGTATGTATGGTTAAGCAAAGAAAATAAATGCTTAAATCCACAATTTGGCACAAAAGCACCACCTTGCACTCCATCATGTCCTTTCACTGTGTGCCACACTGAAGAGAATTATGAAACACGTATGTATAGTCCAATGTGCCATTTCCTGATGGAGGGATTACACACAGGCAGAAAAGAGCATTAAGTTTTTTTTTTCTCTGATGGCCATACTGTATGGTGCTTCTCACTCTAAGTAAATCCTCGCTGTTATCCGTTTGCCAAGTGACGATTTTTACAGCTGTGTCTAAACCTGCCAAGCATCTTGGAATAGAAATAATCCCAAAAAGATGACAGCATTCAGAGGATAAAGCATGATTTGTATGGTTTAAGTTATTAAGAGTGACATTCTGTGACAGTTTATTTGTAAACCATTCTGACTGTATTATCAGTCCATCATGTGGCCCTGCCCTCCTCGACCTTGTCTCAAACCAAAATCAATTCTTTCTGCATGTCCAACTCACTGAGAAAGTCATCAAAAATGCATGAGCAAAGCTATATTTGGTAGGCCATTAGATTTCCCCTTTTCATCAGCTTTTGGTGGGAACTGTCAGAGGCACCGAGCCTCTTGACAAGATGGTAACTGTATAATTTTGTTTTATATCAGACAGCAAATAAATAAAAACTCTTACTATAGTAATAAACAGTTTCCTAGTCCCAGATTAAGCCTAAACCTAAACTAAATAGTATTTGTAATGGTGAAACACCATTGGAATTGGAATTTAGTCCAAGATTAGGCATAATCCATGTCCACGAAACCAGGCCTTGGAGTATTTTGTGGTATTACTACATATGTTTCTGTAAGGGAAGCCAGATGAACTGTGGTGTAATTCATAAAGCAAGATTTCTCAGTAAAGCTGGATAATTTAAGCCAAAAAATGAGGCCTGTCCATTACAAATATCTTCTCTTATTGGACAGACTTGGCTTTTGTCTTATGTTATACTGGCTAACTGTGAAATCCTGCTTGATAAAACATGCCCCATGTTCAACTTGTTCGTTCCCTCAGATTCCTCTAAAAAAAAAAAAAAACTAAACAGCTCTCTCAAGTTAGCCAGCACACAAACTAATACACGAAACCTATCGAATTCATATCAGTGTGTATTTTACACTAACGCTGATTCGAGTTGTATCATATTCAACCTAGCTGGAACATGAAACGACAGTTTAGACGACTGAAAAATCTGAAGTAGTGGTGCAAAGATGAGGGACTTGCTGCTCCAGCACGCCTGCGCCACGGTGCTGCACCAGCAGCCTGAGAGAGAGAGAGAGAGCAGCAGCTACACCATCCACGCGGTCACGGAGAAGGAGAAGACACCATAAACACCTGGCTCTATAAACAGGACATTCCCGACATTTTCGTCCTTCTTTCCTACGTGGTAAACCGGTAAGTGCCAAACAGAGTTATAAAACCGAGCTCCCGCTCTCCTGTAGTTTGTTAGCGCTTCGTCAAAGCTGGCTAGTCTACTTATGAACTCCTAATTGCAGTGAGTGAATGAACGCGGCTGCTGCTGCAGTGGATTTTTATGAAAACGAGCAGCCGCCACTGTTGACGATTTTCAGCAGGGTCCTAGTGAACCAGGACAAACATTTTTCCTTCATTTTGTTCAATTTATAATCTCCTTACCCCCTCGGTGTCTCAGCTACAGCGTGTCCCTTAAGGAACATCATCAGTAAGTACAGTAGCTAGACGGGTTAGCACGATAAGAGGGAGCCATGCGGGGACAGACTGTGGCTAATGCTCCTAAAATCACCACAAGAATGTGAGCCAAACTTTTTTCTTGTACACATGGTGATGGTCTCTGTATTCGTTTGTAGAAATAAAATGACTGGAGTCCATGTGTGTGTAGGGGTGTATCGATTCACCCTTGTTAAGGTTCGATACGATTTTTGATTCTGATGCTCAGATTTGATTCGGTTTTCGATATTTTCTGTTTTAAATGTCCTGATTCTACAGAGCTTATACATATTTTTTGGCTTAGAAAAATACACATTTTTCTTTCAGACTGAAAAAATGTATAAACAGAAAAGTAGAAACAGAAGACACATTTGCGAATACCTGAGCTGCCTCTTAGAAATTGTCATATGAACTTATCAAACTGAAACAATGTCACGGAAGTGCAGCTAAATGTGTGCAAAATAGATTCTGAATCTGAGTTTAATTATAATCTTCCACTGCTATTCAATTTTTTTTTCATTTCATGGTTTCCATGAAAGATGGCAAATGAAGTACCGTCTGAAGAGACAGAGAGGTGTATCAATGACACTGTCAATGCCAAAAAAGTTGGGGCAGTGTGTGAAATGCAAATAAAAACAGAAAGTAGTGTTATGTAAATCCACTTTGACCTGTAATTAATCAGAAACAGTTCAAAGACCAGGTCTTTAGTGTTTAAGCCTACCTTTTCATTTGTAAATATATGCTTATTCTGAAATTGATGCCTGCAGTGTTCTAAAAATGCTAAGACAGGGCAATTTAAGACTAGGAATTGTGAAAGACAGATGATGCAATCATGCTTGGGTATAAAAGGAGAATCCAGATAAGGTAAAGGATGGGTCGAGGCTCACCACTTTGCAAAGAAATACATCAGTGTACTATCCAACAGTTTAATACCAGTATTCCTCAACAAGCGACTGCAGTGAATTGAGGTATTTCACGCTCTGTGGTTCATAATGTCATCAAAAGACTCCAGGAATCCGGAGAAATCTCTGTGCGTAAAAGGTCAAGGCCGAAAACCACAACTGAATGCCCGTGACCTTCTGTCCCTCAGAAAGCACTGCACAAAAAATAAAAAAGCATGATTCTGTGATGAATATCATCACATGGGCTTAGGAGTACTTAATAAACACTTTTTCATGGGCGCCCGTGCTTATTTCATTGTGAAAACGTCAAGGCACATTCAGCACGTGTTACACATGCATGGCCGTGTAATCAGAGTGCACATACTAGACTAGTCTGCCTACAGTCTCCCATTGACAACGTGTGCCGCGTTATGAGGCACAGAATGCAGTGACGAAGGTCCTGTACGGTTGTGCAGATGAAGACTTGCGTACTTGGAAAAATCTGCTTTCGAAAGTGGACCAAGTGAGGTCTTCAGTCCCCAAACAATTACTAAAAATTGTTTTTTTGATTATTAGGAGAAAAGGTGATGTAACTCTTTGGTAAACATGCTCTTGAACCAACTGTTTTGAAACGTGTTGCAAAAACATTTACTGATTGTAAAGAGCTTAAATTATATATTAAGCAGATTGGTTTGGCTCAGAAAAAATATTTTATTTCAAACCAAAAGGCTGCAAAATAGCATGTCCTTGTGCAAAACAGTGAACTGAGCTATAAACAAACACCTCAGCTGCGTCCTATAAGTTGTTCTGTGAAAGTAAAATGAAGTATCACCAAATCAACAACAGTTATGAAAGTAGAAATAAAATACGTGCAAATTGTGCGCTGAGTCTTGACATCAACTATACCTTTACATTTACTATTTCAGTAATGACAGAGTACATTATTTTCAGATGACAGAGGGGCTTTTCAATACTTTTTTTTTCAATAAGATTTTGTCACTGTTTCATGTTGTATTTTGTCTCATTTTATGTATAACGTTTCATATTATTAAGCTGCTGTGTCCGAATACTTCAGTATCCCTAGTCTTGAGTCAGGAGAAATCCTGATTTGTGTTGCATCTTCCTTTCTCTGGGCTTGCAGAGTGTCTGTTTGCATTTGGGTGCAAGCACAGCTATTTGCACCCAAAAAAGACCTAACTGCAATTTATGAGACCGTTTAACGGTGTTAGCTTACTAGATGGCGTAATCTGGCCAAAAGTAGAAAGACTAGTTATACCCAACTCCTGTAGCTGATGTCTTTGCTAATCCTCATCAACCCATTATGAAAAAATAGCGTTATCTGGCTAGCACATTTAGCTAACTAAAACAATGTTCAGAAATAACTTCAGTGTGTGACCATATGAAGGCATTTGTATTTGTCTGTGTGAAACATAGGTTTGAGCTAGCATTAACTAGCTGCTTGCAAACGCGTTAGTTTGATAGTCTTTGCACTATGTATTTGCAGTAGTGGTTCTGGCAAACTGAGGTGGTTGTCTAAAACCTGTGTTTGAGCTAGTAGTAGCTAACCCAGCTAGGAGTTCGTTAGTTGTGTTTTTGCAGTCGTTTTGGTGAGCTAAACTAGCTGTGTGAAATTTGTGTTCAGCCAGGGACTTTATAAAGGAGGAGACCAGTCACTGGTTGAAATATGAATGGGAAAGTTTGAAACGTTCAAACGTTCATGCTATCTGTTTATGGAGAAAATCATGCCCTTCATGAAAGAGAGCCAGTCAGCTTGCTGGTTACACCACAAGGGGGGAAAGCCCCCCTTGTTGTGGAGATTTGCACGAGCGCTGTAAACCATTTATGAGATTTTTGTCAGATTTTATCAGTTATTTCAAATATGTTTTTGAAACAGTAATTTAGCCTCAGTTTTAAGTATTTTGGTCTCTCCCCATTCAAAAAGATAGGAGTGTGGTCTTGTTTGGTTGAAAATAACTGCCCAGCTGCATTACCAAGATGGCTGCCAAGGAACAGACTTTCCTATAAGGACTTTGCTTCAGCTGTTGGCTAACCTGCTTGCAAGTTATGTCTTAGCAGTGGTGGTTCTGGCGAACTGAGCTAGTTAGCTGGCTACACATTTAGAATAACCTCTTGAAATCTGGCTAATTTAGGCTAAAGAGTGGGAATTTGCTAGATAATTATTTAAGAAATCGAATCCAAGAAGGTATAATTTTGGTGATCTGGAGGAAGAATGTGGATTTTGGCAGTATAGAATAATATATCAGGCGAAGGTCAAGAACAACATATGAGATTCTTACATAAAAAGGAAATATTGGAAATATTGGCATTTTCCTGCAGTGATCAAGACCAGGATGTAGAATACACTGCTTTATATTCTCAGGTATAAATACCATATTAAATACCATACTATTGACATGAAGATGCTGATAGCACTTATCTTTTTCTTATTAGCACCATTATTATTATTATTATTATTATTATTATTATTATTATTGTATTTTTAGCTATGCTATAAAATGTTTTGTTTTTCAGTACTGTTTCACCTTTCAGTCCTCTCAGTAGAGCATAAATAAGATTTGAAGTGGAGGAGAACGGTCAATAAATGAAGACTTTGGGTCAGTTCTACTGTGGCACCATCCTGGTCACCATTCTCTAATCCATGATGGAGGAGACCACTGATGTAAGCTGCTGTGGACATTTGCTTTTGTTTTGTGAATGTGCATGAGTATGCACACATTCATAAAGACATATTTGTTTATGATTTCACATAGTGTTGTGCCACATGGCCTGGGTCTCTCTTTCAGAATTCTCTTGGATCGCTGGCCAGTGATGACTCTTATGTGATGGCCAAACACTCAGCCATTTACCCGTCAGCCGAAGAGCTGGAGGCTGTCCAGTCTCTGGTGTCAGTTGTGGAGGGAGGCCTAAAGCAGGTTTCAGACTGGCTAACTAATTCTGCAAAGGCTAGTGTTGTTATATGTAAGGACCTGGCAGAACCCAACTCAAAGTAAGTTTCTTTAAGATTCTAACAGGCATATCTGTTTAAACTCATGTTTCAGTGGGATGTTCATATTTGGGGACAATTTAAGCAGTTGCTGTATTCACCAGCAGTTTGCAGTCTATAAAAAACGATAGCACTCCAAAAGGTTTCACTATCTGTACATACTTCGCCATCAGCCATAAGTCTTAAAGGAGTATTCCACCAAATTCTGCAAAATTTCTGCGTAACTCAATGGTTAAGATGTAAATAAAACTTTGTTTTTGAAATTTACAAAGTGCTTTGTAGAGAAACTTACCGAGTCAGCTTTCTTTACGGTGGTGGTGATAGGAACCAGGGGTCACGGTGGCAACAGTGTAAATGTAGCCATTTTGTTTGGTATCCAAAATGAATAGTGAACTGTGAGAATGTGTTTTCTGAGTTTTTATTTATATTGTTGAAAATTGTAAAATAACAGGGAAATCTAAAAAAAAAATCTTTGAGTGCTGTTTTGCCTTACAGTGGCCTGCATGTACCTCTCCACCTTGCTTGTATTTTAAAAATACATTTTAGACCTAAACTTATCATAAAATAATGTCTGAAGCATCAGGCAGTGTATTCATAACCATTTCTTGTAATGTCTTTCTGTAAGTGAGTTTTTGGAGGCATTAAATGCTTCAGACATCTGGTTCGTACCTCTGTCAACAATTTTATGTAAGTTTCTATAAAAGGGAGCATTTAATAAAATTAATGCCTGTTTATACATAATGATGTAATTAAAAAGAAATTCTGTGGAATTCTATTGGTTCTGTTCAGGTGTGGTGGGCCGTTGGTTGGCGTGGTGCGTGTCGGATCAGTGGCCAAGGGCCTCCTGATCAAGGGGATAATGGACTTGGAGCTGGTCTTGCTGTGCCGAGAGAAACCCACCGGAAAGCTGCTTCTCACAATCTGCACAAACCTGCCACTGCAGATGAAGGTTATCTAGCATTCTTCAGAGCTTTCCCACCTCCACAAACCTTTGGTTACTTCAAACTGGACTGAAACTGCTGCTTGTGTGGCCATTCTCGAAATAGCCTACATGTCTGAAATGCTTCAGTAATCATTTTCATAGTCAGTGTTGGGGATGCAGCTCCAGGAATGCAATTAACTAATCTGTCAGCTACTCTGCACTGGAAGTAGTTAAGCTAAAGCACAGTGAACTTAATTACAGGGCTGCAAGCTCATTTAAACTGGGCAGAAGATAACAATTTGCTTTGATTAAGCTATTCTGCTACCTGGTGGCCGCAAGTATCTTAAAATTAGTTATCTTGGTTTGGTCTGTTTTAGAAGCTGAAGCAACTTCTAAAGTCTTGTTGTTAAATGTAGCTAAACTGCCAACTCCCAAAAATGGTTCATAGTATAGTCCATATTATTCATACAAGGTACAGTACTGTGCAGAAAGTAAGGAAGGGGAAGTCAAAGTAAAAATGTGAGGGAAATAAAAGGAGTTTCTCAGCACTGCAGTGACGTTGATCTGGTGGTGTGTTAGTGTGTGTTGCGCTGGTACGAGTGGACCAGACATAGCAGTGCTGCTGGAATTTTTAAACACTGTAGTGCTACTGCTGGGCTGAGAATAGTCCACCAACCAAAAATATCCAGCCAACAGCGTCCTGTGACCAGTGATGAAAAATTAGAGGATAAGCAGCACAAACGGTGCAGCAATGGATGAGCTGTTGTCTCTGACTTTATGTCTGCAAGGTGGACCAACAAGGTAGATGTGTCTAATAGAGCGGATTGTAAGTGGACACAGTGTTTAAAAATGTCAGCAGCACTGCTGTGTCTGGTCGGCCTTTGGGGGTCCTGATTATTGAAGAACAGGGTAAAAGGTGACTAACAAATTATACAGAAAAGCAGATGGACTACAGTCTGTAATTGTTGAAGCACAAAGTGCTCCTATATGGTAAGTGGACCCGATAAAATGTACAGTGAGTGTAGAAACAAGAAAGTGTACTTAATGAAGGGTCTGCTCAGTGTACATGCTGCTGAAGCAACACCAATGCTTTGGCAAGTGCTTTATTTTTACATGCTATACGTTGCTGTATCTCTTCTGTCTCCTTTTGCAGAAATTGACAGAGGACAGCTACACAGTGCAGCCATGCATTCCAGAGGCAGCTATTCTGGTATTCAAAAGCAGCAGACCTGATCTGCCTCTCAGGGTCACCCTCACCTCAATGGAGATGAAAAGCAAAGAGCCAGAGAAAGGCCAAGGTAACGGCCGTTAACACGTCACAAAGTGTCCTCATCTCTGAGATGCCTAAAAGGACCACATGCAGTTCTGCACGCTGAAATCATCACCCAGTGGATTTTCTCTCTGATCGAAAGTGCATAAATTGTATCGTGTAGTTAACTTTTTTATGAAGTGGGAAAGAAATATTCACATAGCTTCTGGTCACATCACCTCAACATCTGAGCTCTTTGTTGGTACCTTGCCCAATGCCACCAGATTCTTTCGTTGATGCTTTGACGCAGCAGCTGGTGTGTGGAGAAGGAGCCCTGGGATTTTTGGCCTTCTGCATGTCTTTCTTGTCATTCTTTCCCCTTGCATTCGCTGCACACCATGGAGTTTCTGTTAAATAGAAGCTAACAAGGAATGTGACCTTTTAGCCATTGATTGACCTCTCCTCTTGCTTGCAGTATTCTGATTTTTTAAATTGTAAATTGCTATGTGAAACCTCTTTACTTTGTGATGTGGCTCCAAAGGGCATTGGTGTTATGAATGGTGGGTGGGTGGTATGGCCCCTGATATTGTATTGCCATGTTGTTGGCTATAGTCAAAATGCCATAGCACCTTTGCCACCTTCCTCTACAATGATGAGATCTCACAGGCAGGCTGGTAGGAATGTTAGTTCTCTCAGGTGGAGTTCCTGGGATGACAAACATCTGACCAACATGACAAAAACACCAGCATGGAGGTTTCAAACGAGCGGAGAATTAGGCCATATTTGGTGATGTTTAGGCTTATGCCTGGTGACGGTTAACCAAGTTTCCATGGTAAAACCACATAGTGGCTGTGAAAACTCATTTACTGCCTTTTCAAAATATTTTGTTCATTATTGATTTATTTAATGCAAAGCATAGCATGAAACTAATATTCCCACATGTGAACATAAGAGAACTTTTAAACATGTTGTGTGTTGTCCTACATTAATTCCGTATTTATCACCTAACGTAGGTGAGGCTGTTCTTGAAACGTGGCTGTTCTTTATTAGTGGGTTAATAACATTTTCTTGGCTAAATTAAGGATAGCAATATACTACAACTTTTACTTATGTTTTTTTATTTGACAAAGTTTCAGCTTCAACTCTCATGCTATAACTTTTTTTGTGAGTTAGGAACTAAAAATGAATAATACATTTTGCTATTATTATTTTTATTGTTATTATCTCTGTAAATACATTTGATGATGCCTCTGGATACATCATCAGTGCTGTTTGGAAGCAACAGCAGTTTAAACATGTAAAGCACGTGGGCTTGGCTTTGGAACTCAAGTCTAGCAGTCTGAGGTTCTCCAGTAGGGGACACTATTAGCATGTCACTTTAGTGATCGTCATTTAGAGAAGAAACAGCCATAAACCTCAGCGGCATCTGACAAATGCAGACTCAAAACAGGAGGGAAGAAAGTTGAGCACTAAAAGATATTGAGCTACTTAGTATTATATATGTGACTTCCATTGAAGACTTTCACTAAATCAGTTAATGCTGAAAAGGTATGTAAACTAAAGACTGTATAGAACGCAGCTGCAGGGGACCGTGTTTGTGCGTTTCATTGTTTATCATTATTTAACTGTTTGCATCTGTGCTTACCAGAACAGGAGAGTGAAGAAAACAAGCAGCAGTTTTGAACACTATTTCTCATTTTCACCATCATTCATATTTTTTTAGATCCTTAGATTTTGACACTCCATTGTATATTATTTTTGGCCAAAATATTTCTGTGCATCCCACTATTTTGAGATGGGCACTGACTCTGAAGCAGATATGGGAGCAAAGAAAGTGATAGCATGTGAGCTGAAGCTTAATCTTTGTCATATAAAAAACATAACAGTGCAGTTCAGTAAAAGTTGTGGTAGTAGTTTATGTTCATCTTTAATTTGGCCATGAAGATTTAGATAATCCCAATAAGAGAATTCTGTTACAGACACAGTCCTAGAGATTTTCATTATTAGTGTTCTGCTTCCTGGTTTCTGGCCCAGGCCCCTTGCTGGTATTTTTAGTCTTTCCTCGTGTTATCACATTGGTCTGCTCGCTGCCTAAGCCGCTGATCTGCATCTTGAGTTAGCAAAAATAACTCGCCCTAATGCTCTTCTTTTTATAATGAACTAGCTTGCATGAAATAACTTCTCTTGACTTGCTATGAACTCAGTCAGATCAGTGGGATCCTAACTGTAGTATTCCACTTTTCTGCCAGTGTGTTCTGACAGAAAAGCTCATGGTGAATCTACTGTTTGTGTGTCTGTCCTGTTCTGTTCTTCTCACCAGTGGAAAACACAAAAGCAAAAGATTCGTCTGATCTGCTGGACCAGCAGAGATGCCTCCTTGCTCTGACCTCTCTGCGACATGCCAAATGGTTCCAGGTTGGCCATCAGTTTGCACTATGTGGTTTTTGTAGCCTTTGGCACGGACAAGTAAAAGAAATTTTGTACCCATTCACAGCTCAGAACAATGTGATTTTCAGTTTGAAAGTGTAACTTCAGCACTGTCCGGTTGGGCTGCAAAATCAGACAACTTTCATCCCACCTCTGAATGACCCAAACTGACCCAAACACTCTTTACTAGTTCTCTGGCACTCACCTTTCCTCCTTGCCTCACCTTTCTGAGCTGCATGACATCTAACATTAGAATTGTGTGGTTTTTTTTTTTTGCTTCATAATTGCAAAATCTTTCTGCTAAGATGTGGTTTGACTTCTTCAGGTCAGGGTAAGTGGTAAGAAGTCCTGTCTCATAGTTCTGAGGATCCTCAGGGACATATGTATCAAGAGGCCAGCCTGGGAACCTCTCAAAGGATGGGTGAGTTTTTAGTTCAGTGAGGGCTAGAAGACATTACCACAATGTTGTCAAGGTTTTTTGACTGTTATGGAGTTCTACAGTAAAAATAGCTTCAAAAAGCAGCAGCTTTTCAGAAGAGCACCAAAATGGGAGTGAAAAAGACTGCAAACAGTTTCATCACATTGGCCAGCCCAAGGCTCATTCAGGCTGATAAGAGATCACAAGAAATCACCTGCAGTGCAGTTTCATCACCCTTCTTTTCATGCCCTGGAATGATGACATCAGAATAGGAATAATGACATGACATTTAAAATATACAGTTTTGAACAATTTGTCAATGCATTGCAAAGATTCCTCCTCATTAAAAATATAGTGAGAGCAATCCAAGACAACAGTTCTAATCTCACAGTTAAGCTTCTCCATCCTATACAGCATCCTACACAGGTACACAGCAGATGATCTAATTTGTAGAGTCTGTGGCCATGACAAGTGTACCCCTAGAGTGCATTTTCACATTTAAAAAATCTAAAGTAGCATATCTCTTTAGCCACATGTTGCAGCTGCAAAGCACCGACATTTGTAATGAGTGGTGTCAAGTCGCAGCGATTTGACTTTGACATGTAATGAGCAGTTAATCAAATGGGGCGTTAATTAAACCTTTATGGGTTAAATATAGATGCTACTCAAGACTTGCTTTTCCTGGTTTCAGTTTCTCTGATTACTCTTTGCTTTATGTGGGTGCCTCAGGGTTCAATATTAGGTCTTTATTTTGTTTCTTATATCAGTTACTTTATTTGTCTCTGCACTAAATTTGTATTCTGTTTCCCCTCAGCCTTTGGAGCTGATCTGTGAGAAGGCCGTTGCCACAAGTTACAGGCCACTGGGGCCCAGTGAGGCTCTCCGAAGGGTCTTGGGTTGCATATCCTCAGGCATACTGCTGCCAGGTAAGTGCCATTAAGCTGCTATCTAGTAATTACATGGTATATATTATTAATGACATGAATAAGTTGTGTGTAGTTACTTCTGTCTTTTCTTTTTGGAGGTGGACCTGGATTGCGTGATCCATGTGAAAAAGAGCAAGTAGACACTTTATCAGGCATGTCAAGCGATCAAGCTGAGCTTCTTACGCACACTGCACAGGTTAGAACTCCCTCAATCAGATTTGAAAGGACTTGAAAAATGAAACTGAACAAGATGTAAAGTAAATTGGACAAATGACCTAATGTTCTCTACTTTCTTAGCACGCGTTACGGCTCTTAGCTTTCGGCCAGATTCACAAGTTCCTCCAGATGGATCCTCTTCCTTCAGCTAAACCCGCTGTGGAACAAAAATTAGCAGAAGGTTGGTGCTTTCGTGTGTTTTAAGCCTATGATTTATTTAACATGGTCTTTCCATAAGATTTTGAAATTATATTTGTGATTCAGCAGGGATGTCTCAGAAAAGGCTTAGTGAGGATGAAACGATGGAGGAACCAAGGAGCAAGAGGACAAACAGTATGCATTATTAATTCTTCACCCCTCTTTTTTTAATGATCTGTCAGGACTTATGAAGAAGACTGATTAAACTGTTCATCTGAATCTTGCCTAACAGTTCTGCACTGGTGTTTTAAAGGTACTAATGTAGGCTCGTTGTCTGCTGAGGACAAATCAGATGGTAAGAGGAAAGTGGAGACTTTCTCCAAAAGTTCCAGCAACAATCGCACAAAGAGCTCTTCCTTAGCCAAGGTAAAGGGTTAGGTTTCATGCCCTCCCCTCCCCCTTCATTTTAGACTCCTTAGCATTGTTGGCCAACTATGTGTGTAATTATTGTTTCTGTCATTAGGAATCTGAAGGAAATGCTACAAATCTAGTGGTAGCCTGAATAACATGAATACTTAAATGTTTGTTTCTTGATGTTGGTATTTGTTCCCTTAATTAGTGTTGTGAAGCTTCATCTTTTGCTAACCCTTCAGACCCCCAGAATTCTAGAACAATGATGATTTTCAGAGTAAGAGGTTTATCACTGTTTTAAACAAAACATTTTATCGTAAATCCAGAAGAAAAATAGCAGTTTCTTAACAATGGACTTGATATTAGACTACAAGAAATAATGTCATACCAAGGTAATGTTAAAAGAATAAAGGCTAAACAGAGCCATACTCTCCTCTGTGATTTTGCACAATGACATTTTTTTGAAAGAGTGAAGGAGGATAAGTTAGGGCAAGATATTAAGATGGCAGACAACATTTAGATAAAGATACAATTATCCAAATACACATTAGTTTTGGTGTAGTTTCAATGGTTGAATTACATTCAAGTGAAAAAGGTGAGCATGTTTAGCTGCTGTCAAGCTGAGAGAAAAATGGAGAGCAAACTCACTAAACTTCACTAAAACTCACTAAAACTTCAGCTAGATTACCTGATAATGAAAGCTAAATTCATTATTGCTAGTTTGCCCCTTTCCTTTAAACACCGCATTCACTGCATATAGCGCTTCATTCTGTCCTTCAGACTGAAAGTATTTCTAAAATGAAGCAATTTCTGAGAGCAAAACACTGTAATAACTTGCTGAATTATGTAAACATTTTTTAAGGGTACTATTGAGAATAAGTACTCAGGGACTTCTTAATAAATTGAACTTGAAGCACTCAATTAACATGGCTATCCATTCTGTAAATCCGCTAAACCAATTATTAAAACATGCTGCTAAATAAAAGATTTCCCTCTTGAACTTACTTCCGTGTCAGACGATTCTTATCTGGCATAAAAATACAGCACATCTGTCTCTTGGCATCTTTGGACATCCATAGTAAAAAGTATGTATACATGCATAAAACTATTCATTACAAATCAAAAGCTGTGATGTTTTGATTAAAAATCAACTGAAATGAATGAACATGCTTAAAATTATGGTTAATAATGAATTTGAGTATTCAAAGCCTCTGAAGTGCTGTATGGGCCAGCTCTGAATAAATCTGAGTAGAAAATTAACTGAAAGGTGAACTAGCCTGATTCTGACCTGTCAGCAGTGTGTATAATTTATTGGAAACACAATTCCACAAGAATATGATACCTTACGAATTTGTGGATGTTCTGTAAACAATGTCCACACGTATTTAAACAAGGGTGTCAGGTGTTATTAGTGTGCTCTGAATACTCTGTGGTCTGTTGTGTTTTTCAGGGTAAAAGTCAGGGTCCTGTCCTCACATCTAGGGGCAAAAACCCAGTAATGGAGCTGAATGAGAAGAGGAGAGGGCTTTCATATGACTTAATCACTGAGAATGGAGAGAGCCAACAACAGCGCTTCATCATTGAGGTGGGAGCATCATTAACTTGCTTGATTTATTTATTTATTTTTCCTCATATCCCTAAACACAGTATGGAAGAGCAGGACACAACCTAGCACATTTAGTTTTTTTGCTAAATGACTTTCAAAGTGTTTGAGCAATATTCATATTTTTTTATACAAGCAACCTACATATCTGCTAATAATGAAGACATGAACTTTGTTTCCAGTACGTACCATTTACTACATTAATTGTAACAGGCTGAGGGACTAATTGTATCAGTCGCTGAAAGAGTAGAAAATCAATGCAAACACAATCAGTTCCATACAATTCAATGTTGTTTGAGCAGGACATGCTTTTCAACCTTAACACCTAAAAATATATATACTAAAATAATATTATATGTTATTACTGAAAAGAGGCTGTCAGCTCTGGGTAATTCATATGTATACATTGCTGGCTTTCACTTACATAAGAGAGGATTATTGCTGTTGTAGACATGAAATATATCTATGCATAACAAAAACTGTAGAAGCAAATGAGCTATCCAACCTAAACACATTAAAAATATATTAATCAAAATAAGTTTTAGCAGTGACAACAGGCTGTCAAACATGGCAAATGTATTTTTGACCACAAAATAGAACAGCAAATATCACCACAATAAAATTGACATCTGTAGTACATTTCTGATAAATCTGTGCATAAACACTTCCAAAAAATAACTATTTTGAATTAATATGGGAATCATATGGACTTGGTCTCATTATCACTCTTGCGAAACTGCATTAAAACTAGCCCCACCATGTGGAGGCTGCACTCCAGCCTGGCTAACTCTCACTGTGAGTTGTTTACATGCCACCAAGATGATGATTAAGATAATAAACACTATATGTACAAAGGTATTGGGACACCTACACATTACACCTTCAAGGGCTTTTATGGCATCCAATTCTAAATCCATAGGCATTAATATGGAGTCGGTCCCCCTTTGCAGCTATAACAGCTTCCCCTCTTCTGGGAGGCTTTGTGCGAGATTTGGAGTGTGTTTGTGGGAATTTTTGCCCATTCATCCAGAAGAGCATTTGTGAGGTCGATCAGACACTGATGTTGGACGAGAGGGCCTGGCTCACAGTCTCTGTTCTAGTTCATCCCAAAGGTGTTTGATGGGGTTAAGGTCAGGGCTCTGTGCGGGCCAGACAAGTTCTTCCACAAGACATCCACCCAACCATGCTTTTATGGACTTTGCTTTGTGTACTGGGATACAGTTGTGCTGGAACAGAAAAGAGCCTACCCCAAACTGTTGCCACAAAGTTGGAAGCATAGCATTGTCCAAAATGTCTTGGTTTGCTGGATTTCCCTTCACTGGAACTAAGGGACCTAGGCCAACTCCTGAAAAACAACCCAATAGCATTATCCTTCTCCACCAAACTTTACATTTGGCACAATGCAGTCAGGCAGGAAACGTTCTTCTGGTATTCGCCAAACCCAGACTCGTCCATCAGACTGCCAGATAGAGAAGAGTGATTCATCACTCCACAGAATGCACACTCAACAGAGTGCCCTCCTGTGAAAGTGCCATGTTTAATGTCACTGAACTCTTCAGTATGACCCATTCTACTGCTAGCATTTGTCTATGAAGACTGCAAAGCTATGTGCTTAATTTTATTCTCCTGTTAGCAATGGGTGTGACTGAAACACCTGAACTCAATAATTAGGAGGTGTATCCCAATACTTCTGTCTATGGTTTACATGTGAATTTTGTAACTTACACACAAAAAAAAACGTGTATGGTAAGAAAAGTTACTTTATGGTATAAAACCTTTTTCAGGATGAGTCTGTCTGATGGCTGTAAATATTGAACTTGTTGGTCTGAGGGAGATTTGATTTACTCAAGCCTTAAAGTGGTGTTACTTAGAAGGTCAAACTTTCTTTGATGGTGATTATATGTACTAAGGGAAAGCATAGTCTGAGGTACTGAACCCAAAAGCTGTTTTATCTCCTCTGTGTAAGGTGCAAGTGGATGGACTGAGGTTCAGAGGATGTGGGCCAAATAAAAAAGTGGCAAAGGCAAACGCAGCACTGGCAGCGATAGAAAGACTCTTCTCAGCACACAGTACAAACAGCAACAAGAAGAAGAGGTCCTACCCAAAGGTAACTGGCCCAACACTCAGCCTGGAACATGCACATAATTTATATTAAAATTATCATTTCAAATCAGTTGTGCATAGTTTGTCTCTTACACCAGATATAATAAACCTAAAGAAGAAGTAGCTTTAACTTTAAACACCAAACGTGTCTCACAACATGTCTGAAGTTGTGCTACTTCTACTTTTACACATAAGCAAGTCCATTTGAGTTTACTTAACCACATAACAGTTTGAGGCAGTTTTCACAGTGCTAACTGGTGGGAATTAATGCATTATTAGCCTTATAACTCCAGTACAAAATTAAAGAAACATTTTGGACACAACATGTCTTGGCCGATTGACCATATTTAAGGTAAAGGGGAAAATTGTGTAAATTTAACCTATGACTACGCAGCATTACATGTTCATGTGCGTACTCCTTTAGGCAAATCCAGCCACGAATGGCTTTCATCGAGGGAAAAGGGGTATTACAATGCCCAGGCCAGTGCTTCCTCTCCTTCCTCCAGCCCCTGCGTACTTTACCCCAGGTAAACCTTCTCAGTCTGCGTCCACTGAAACATTTTGTCACTGTCCAAAAAGAAAAACAAAAACCCACCATTTTTCAATCTCTACATCATTTGAGCACAGCAGCTGTACTTTACATTTTGTGAAAATGTGATGGTAATGGACCTCTATAAATGCTCGAAGGATACTTGGAATAAAATCTTGCATTAAAAGTGAAGAGTGTTCTTGCCCTCGCCTGTGAAGTTACCATTTTGGACATACTTTGAAGATACCATATATCTATATACTATATATTTAGACATTGATGATTTGTTGTTGTTTGTTGTTAAGTCTTTAAAGTGGGGAATGTAATGAAAACACATTATATATGCATACCAAAGATGTTCACAAGTTGCTTCATGAAAGTACGAATCGAGTCTCGAGCCAAGTCGAGTCTTTAGAGAATTAGAGAATTTCAGCTGCACCTGCCAAGTTTGACAGCCTTAAATATGAGCCTTTCATTACAGAAAAACTTCCAGTCTGAAAGATGGAACTCCAGTGATATACAATGCTTAAAATAAATGGGCAAAACAGCTTGAAACTATTAGTCTGTAGTTTATAAGTATGCATGCTAGCCAGTGTAATCGTTAATCCAGCTGAAGTTTTAAAGGAATGTGAACTGTAACTCACTAAACCTTCAGCTAGATTACATTATAACTAAAGCTAAATTAGTTATTGCTAGTTTTGCCTCATTCCTTAAAACACCACATTCAGTGCATAAAGCGCTTCATTCTGTCCTTCAGACTGAAAGTATTTCTATAATGAAAAGCTTGTTATTTGAAGCTGTATTGAATCTGATGCGGCTGCGAGCTGTGAGGAAAATGGCGTCACAGTAATTACTGCTGTTTACCTTTCCTGATTTCTGCTTTCAGGCCGTTGCCGTGACAAGTCAGGGAAGCTTTTCCCATAACAAGCTTCAGGGCCATAGCAAGTTTAACTTTCCTGCCGCTCTGGGGTAATACTTTTCCCATTTTCCAAGAGGATGAGGTGGATTGGAGTGGCAGTGAAGTACTTGGCATTTATTGCAGATAGTTGACATATTAATCACTTTTTGTTACACGCTTTTGTAACCTAAGAATAGCTCAATCAGTTTACATTGAAGCTCCTGTTGTTACTGAATAATAAGCCTTTGTGTGATAAACCTGGGATGTTGAGGGGCTAAACAAAAAAAAACAACAAAAAACTGAGACTTCAGAGTGTCATCAAGGTAAAGAAAAAGCATTTTACATCGTGGTAGTGACTACAGTTAATAATGTACATTCACTAAAATACCCACAATACCCTCAAACCCCAACAACTCCACATGACAGCAGTAAAACCGAAAGGCAAAATCAGACACAGGTTGGAAAAGTTGTATTCGTTTACAGTTCGCGAGTCTGGAGTCACGAATCAGTTAAAAGTGTGTCCGGGTCAAGTCACGAGTCAGGTCAACATTCGACTTGACTGCGATTTACCCGAAGTCACCCGAGTCGCCATCCTTGAAACATATATAAGTATATAAATATATAAGTATATGAGTGATAAACGGAAACTTCAGTATAAGCCCATATTAAGAATATATATTTACTCACTTACAGGCTATGCTCCTTATGCTTATGGACCAGTTGTCCCCCAGCCGTACGGTAGGCCTGTCATCCATTCACCCTGCAGAACCTTAGTCTAATGTTTTGGCAGTTAACCCCTTTTCACTCTCTTATCCAGAGTCAGATGAGTTCATCAGCACCATTTTAATTACCTTTCTACCCACAGGACTAATTTGTTTAGCCCAAATGCAATTGAATTGAAGGCTGTAGAAACAGCTATAGGAAATAGTGATGAATAGACCTTTCAGGATTTTCAGATTATGAAATGCTGAATGCAGTGTACAAACAGTTCATGTGTGATTTGAAGGGCCAGAGAATAATTGGCATATATTTCTATAGAAATGTATAAACTCTCCAAACTGTTTCTTTAAGGACCAGTAAATTCAGTGATGAAAGTCACCTAGACTAGATACTGAAAGAATAGAGCTAGACGCAGTTCCACCAGCACAAACCAACTCACCACACACTGCTATATTAAGGATTGGATCCGTACTGGACTTCGGATCTGAATTTAGTGCGTGTTTGCATTTGAAAATAAATTAGGATTTTTACTTTAGCCAAAACATGCGCGCACGTTTTGGCTAAAGTAAAGCAGAGTTTGTACCAGGTAGCTATTTAATGGGGAAACGCTGTTATCTATTAAAATGCAAAGAAATTACTGTCAAATTCATCTGACTCTTTGTAAGTTGGAAAAAAGGAGTTCCTTCCCAAAATATTGAACAATCCTTTCTCAATCCCTTCCGAGTCATTCTCTCATTGTCTGTGGCTCATCACAGTTTCCCTGTAGTGCACGCGACCCTTCATAATGTTCCATTTCTGTCTTCCTTGTAGGGGGTAGAATTCTGCCTTGCATGTTCCCTGTTCGCCCCTTCATCCCTCCACGTCCCCTTCCTTTCAGCCCTCCTCCTGTTTTCCATCCCCCCTTCCCTCGTCCTCGCCCCTTTCTATGAAGACGATCTTAAAAACGGTGCAAGATAAAATTCATTTGTTTGAAGCTTTTGTTGTTTGTTTGTTCCCCATTTTTCTTGGCAAGTTGCACTGTTTCAAAGACGTGAATAAAATGTTTATTTTTCAAGTCTTTGTACTGGTTCATTTACACTACACAAGGATGCAGTGTAGGGAGACGGAGAGTTCGAGTTTGTGTGTTGAATGTTGAGAGTACTGAGCTGAATGCTGCACCACCCTCCCCTGCAACACTGTCAGAAGAAAAAAAATCTATGGTCTTTGTAATGTAAGCTTTTAGCCACAAGCCCAAAGCACGCTGAGCACCATGTTCTCCCCGATTCATTCTCTTCTGCAATATACTCCATTCACACTGTTCTAGAGTGTTCTCCCCATTCAGTGTTCTAAAATGTTCTCTCTCCATTCATCTGGTTTTAGAATGTTCTCTCCGCCTCTGGTCATAGTGCTTTTAGAAGGTTTTCCTTCATTTACACTGTTCTAGAATGTTCTGTCTCTCCCTAATCATAGCCTTTAAGAAGGTTCTCCTTCATTCACACTGTTCTAGAATGCTCTATCCCTCCCTAGCCATAGCCTTTAAGAAGGTTCTCCTTCACACTGTTCTAGAATAATCTCTCCCTCCCTAATCATAGCCTTTTAGAAGGTTCTCCTTCATTCAAACTGTTCTAGAATGTTCTCTCTCTCCCTAGTTGTAGTCTTTTAGACGTTTCTTCTTCAGTCACACTGTTCCAGGATGTTCTCCCTCTCTAGTTATAGTCTTTTAAAGGTTCTTCTTCATTCACACTGTTCTAGAATGTTCTCTCCCTGTTCACATTGATTAGTTGGGTTCTAGTTTATGTATCGAAAACAGTAATGATTTATATGATCACATCCCTTTGAACTGACATATGTAAATGATCTCTATTCTGATTGGCTGCAATGCATTGTACCTCATTCAAAAAGCAGTCTGGGATGTAACACTCCTTATAACTTTAGTGTGAATGGGTGTGGCTACACTGCTGTAGGCTGAATAGGCCGATATATGTAAACGAATTGGTTGTGACTTGAATTCAAATGAATTCAGAATGTGCTGTTTTTACAGCTCAGTTTCCATATAGACTATATGGAGTGCAGAGTGAACAAAACAAGGAAATTAGGCTTTCAGTGTCTAGTTTTAAGTTTATCTATATACACCTATCTTGTTCCTGAACTCCTTGGCTGCTTTAGAAACACCTACCATATGGGTGGACTGTGTAGTTTTACCGTTACTGACTGTAACCCATCGGTTCCTGCACAATGTATCAGCCATGCTCATCCCCATCCATCAAAGGAAAATGATCACCATAAGACCTCTGCTGACAAGGTATTATTCGAATGGTAAGCCATTCTAAGTAAAGCAGTGCTTATCAATATATTATGTGTATTGGTGTGTTACGCCCAGTAGTGTTGCTCTACGGTTGAGAACAGTCTACCAACCAAAAGTATCCAGCCAACAGTGGTTTTGTGTTTAGAAATTGTCTACTGATGGAGAAGAAGATAACTCACATTGTTCATATAAAACACACACTATAGTCTTTAAATTAAGTGTTATTCAGTTATATTTTAATATATTGTACAGCTCAATGTCATCAACTACATTCTATACGCATCCTGTGTCATCTCTTCCTGCCATGTCCACAAACAGACAAATGTACCAGCATGTCTCCACTTTTGTTCCTTTTTATTTATTCAGATCATTTTTAAATGCTTGTTGGTTTATGTCAAAATTTCATGCTCATTGCGCCAACACAAAACACTTAGAATAAGATCTTATTCCATTAACTTCTATTTAAAGTTATAAAGATGTCTTCTCGTTCTTTGGAAATGCAATGTTTTGATCCGACTGTGATGAAGTGTATTTTAACTGCTCTCTCTGTCCATTATCTCTCTTCTTTAGGTGGTCTGTACTTCGACAGTCCTGTTTGCCCTCCGCAGACCATCGCTCCTGTTTTTATTCACCTGGGTCCACAAGATTTCTACCCCGATTTTTACATTTAATCTCCTGGCCACACTGGCCTATATGGTCTGACTGGGCAACTTAGAACAGGGTCATCCTCGGGTGCTGAGGAAACTCTCACTGATCGATTTAGCATGGGTCAGTTTGTCATCTGTTGAGCAAGAATGTAGTTTGCATTCACACCAAACTTACATGGTCTTTGCAAACAGATGCATTTCTCATAGTAGATGCACAGTAAGCAATATCGTATCAGGACTATTATTAGCAATAATGGACTGTGTGCACTGCTGATAGAATAGAGATGGTATTTCATGATGCTGCTGGTTTTGAAGTCCACAGATGTCCAACGTGGAATGTATATTTGTATTTGAAATGTTTTTAGAATACTGTATTTATACTAGGAGTAAATGCACATAAGATTGAGCTGCAATGTGATTTGTTTCTAAGAAACTGTATATTCAGTCTTTGGTCTTATTCATGACATACTGCTACACATAGGCCAGTTAGAAAAGCCAATACTACAGTATAAGCATTAGGGTACTATAAAACAAAATAATTCTATACATATTACAGCATTTTATGGTAACCCTACAATCTTTTCTATGACATAATGATGTTTGGAATATAAGTTGTGGCTTTGTGATTTGCTGTTCATAGCTGTTTGTGTGCACAGAATAACTGTAAGCTGTATAAATGATGCCAGATTATTCCATGCAATTAAATATCCAGTCTCAACATCAGTCTTGGCGTTTGTCCTGAGTGAATTATGACTAGTGGATCCGCTGTTAACCTCGCGAGATGTCGCAGGGTTGCTTTTGGAGGCAGAGGCACTGTTTCAGTGCACTGACTGAAAGCTCCAGAGCAGTGCTCTCTCTTCAGGCTCCTGCGTGATTTATGAGCTTTGCTGGGTGTGTGAGGTCTTATATTTTTACATGGTAATGTGGGAGTGGACAGCTGAGGTAGTGTAAGATTACGTAAGGCGGGCAGCATAGAAATAAACCTCAGGGCTGAGTGAAACCTTTATCAGATACCCCTGCCTCCTACTGCGCTGACCTTCAGCGTTGAGATCGAACTAGAGATGGAGGGTTAAAGATGGGATTTACCACACGGGCTGAGCAACTCAGCACAGGAACAGCTTTACAGTGAGGTTCATATTGTTTGTGGCTTCCAAAAATCCACTGATATGGTTTATTTTTTTGGTGATTTACCAGTTTATTGTATACACCTATCTTGTATCTCATTGGCCATTTTATTAGAAACACCTACTCTATACAGTCTTAAAATTATTATGCACGTATTATTTTGTTTGTTTTTGTCAAAGTCAGTAGATTTTTTATCCTATCCCAGTTATATGTTCTAAATTATTATGCAGAATGCAATTTTTTGAAAACATTCAGTGAGACATTCATAATAGACACACAGTTTAAAGCAAAATAACATTACAGATCAACATTTACAGATCAAATTAGAGCCCCTCTTTGGGGTGACTTTAAAAACTCTCACATTAAACTTCTATGTCCATGTATAGTTCCTGTTGACGAGACCAGTATTGCATCCCAGAGCTGGTGTTTCGGGGTATACTGCTGCCCACTCCTTAGATCTTCCTTTTAAGGCTGCTCTGCAGGTTCTCAACAGGATTAAGGTCAGGGGATGATGGTGGCCACACCATGATTTTTTTTCCTTTTATGCCCATAGCAGCCAAGGAGTCACTGGTGTTTTTGCAGCATGGGATGGTGCGCTGTCCTGCACGAACATAATTTATTTCAAAAGGCCTAATTCTTCTTTTTACACCATGACAGAAAATGGTCGATTAGGAGCTCCACATATATTGCAGAGGTCATTTTAACATCCTCAGGGATCCTAAAGGGACCAACCATCTCACTTCCCAATATTCCGGCCCAAATCATCACTCTGCCACCTTCTTGCTGATGATGCTGTCTTGTCGGAAAAGGGTGTCCATTTACCAACCATTCAGAACTCCATTCATCCGTCCAGTGTAGCATAGCATTCATCGGTAAATAAAACTGCTTGAAAAGTAGTCGTCATGTATTTCTGAGCCCAGTGAAAACGTTACTCTGTGTGATCTTTGGTTAAGGCCCGAAATACAACTGGCAGCCTATGGAGGATCCTGCATCAAGATGTTCTTGAGACCCCAGAGACACCAGCAGCTTCAAATATATGTTTGCTGCTCAACGGATCTTTATAGCTGTCCTTTTAAAGGTAGAATTTCAAAAATTCTGTGTAATTAAATGGTTAACGTCAACAAAATCACTCAGAATGGTTTGGTATGAAATGTGTTGTTCTAGAGAAACTTACAGAGTCAGAACTGTTCACAGTGGTGGTGATAGGAACCAGACGCCAGAGGAGTTTCACACCTCTAAAAGCTCCCTCACAGAAAGTTACTACATGAAATGGTTATGAATACACTGCCTGATGTCTGAGACATTGTTTTACAGTAATTTTGTGATAAACTTTTCCTGTAAAACATATTTTATATATCAGTTTATTTAAATCCATTCATGGTGGAGGGATACATGAAGGGTGTTCTAAGGCAAAATAGTCCTCAAAGAAAACATATTTTCAGTTTGACTATTATTTTACCATCATCAACATTACATATAAAAACTCAGAAGACACGTGTAGGTTCACTGGTTCACTGGATAGTAAATAAAATGGCTATATTTGCATTGTAGATATTGTGACCCCTGGTTCCGATCACCAACACTGTAAAGAAATCTGAGTAAGTTTCTCTAGAAATGAACCATTTCACATCAAACCACTCTGAATGACACTGTTTATATCTCAACCACTGAACTGAACAGAAATTTTGAAAATTTGGTGGAATTCCCCCTTTAAAATCATTAATTTGTCTGACAGATACTTTTCCTATGAAGCCTTTATCTGAAATATCAATTAATTGTTTTCATGCCTTTTGCAGACATTGCACTGTTTCACGCTTTTCATCTCCATCCATATTGCACGAGAACTGTGCCTTGTTTAACCCCTTAAATGGCCAGGGTCTGCCGGTGGCCCAAAGTTTTATTACACACTTCCATAATCCAAGAATAGCTCAGCCAGTTTGCATCCAAGTCCCTGTAGTTACTGAATAATAAGCCGATGTTTATAATTAGCCTGGGATTGTGGAACCATCTCTTTTTCCCTCCAATGAAGATTTCCTGAGCAACTAATTAAGAGCCCTGTGTAAGATTGATACCAGTTATCTAAAAAGATATGACATTGGCTGTTTTAAGTGTCTTGCTAAAACGGCCAATGAGTCTAAGATAGATGTACCTATTAAACAAGCACAATGCCATCCTAACAAGGTTCTCTGGGGCTTTGGAGAAAAAACAGCCCCAAAACTTCACAGATCCTCCACCATACTCACTTACTTTTTTAACTCACCTTGAGTGTTTGTTACCAAAAAGCTGCTTTTTTCTCGTCTGACCAAAACACCTGGTTCCACTCAAAGTTCCAGAAGCGCCTAGTGTACTCCTGGCACCTATGTTTGTGGTTAGATGAAAGAAATGACTTCATTCAAACATGCCTTCCAAATAATGCCTCTCCAACCATCCCCCTTCCTGTGTGTGTGTGTGTGTGTGTGTGTGTGTGTGTGTGTGTGTTTGGGGGGCGGTGTGTGTGTGTGTGTGTGTGGGGTTGGGGTAAGCATGCATTTTCATCAAGGTTGGTTCACTACAGATCTGGTTGTTTTAACTTAATTATAATTAGTGCCCTATCAGTGGATGGATATGGATTTCCAGGCAGTTTGCCTGATTGCCTGATTTATGAAGGTCAGTGCATTTCTGTCACATTTCATTTGAGTATTCTGTAGTCTTCCCCGTATTGATGAACGATTCAGGGAATTTCACCTCATTCTTATGCCTCATTGAAACAGGAAGTCAAGGATGACCACTTAAGCGTTTCTTAAAAGTAACATACAAATGAGAACATACTTCAGTTTTATTTTCACATTCATAAGAATTGCCCATGATTACGACAAAGGTGATTATGTTAAAAAAAAAGTTTAGAAGGGTTTTTGTTTCTCGGAGTAAATAAAAGGTTACATCCCTTTCATATATTTTAGTTTGCGATTGAACTAATGGACCACACTTACTTTTTTTTGCTCATCTTTGCCGACAATATAGAGCAGACTGAATATTGATTTCACATCAGTATCACTGACCTTATGAATGTGGATGTAACTCATACATAAGATCAGATTCTAGATGCATTCAAACAAACTTGCATGTTAGTGGGATGTTTTTAGGGCATGCAAATTTCGCAGGGTGATGGGGACTATCGAATTTCACCTGTATGTCATTGAAAGTCAGTGAGAATGTGCTAATTATAGTGGTGAATTTGCTCCATTGACTGGATTCTCTGTCTCACCAGCTGCATCCAAGCCTGTGCAAAATCACCACACTTATTCAGTAATTGCACTGATTAGGCCTAATGCTGGTATAGAAGGAGTAAATGTCACTCTAAATTGGAATGCAGCCATGATGAGAGCTAAACTGGCCAGCACAGCGCTTCCTGTACTGTCCTGTGTGTGTGTGTGCGTGTGCGCGTGTGTGTGCCTCCTGCTGGAATATCTGCTCACGATGCATTTTCTAAAAATGCCCATTGATTTACATTCAGCATAATGGTCCTAGCAGTGTTTTGTGGCTTTTAATGACTTGTAAACACACCGGCCCTTTGCAGTGGCCATAAACACAGCATAGTATGAATGCTCATTGAAATGGTTTGAAGGAGGACTCATTAACGGGAGCAGGTTGTGATTCTGTAATGGCAGAGCATCATCACGGCTGCTCTCTTGTTACCTTTACTTTAGCTTTAGGGCTCTGCTCATTCCCCTCACATTCTGCAGCGCTGGGGGCAAAACACAGACAGATGGTCCGCACCCCATCACACATGCACCAAACACAGGAGGCCGGAATCTACAGCAGTGGTAAAATCAGTCACTTGGGATGGTGCACACCATGTAGCCTCTTACTGCAGGCCACCTAGCAAAATCAGCTTGGATATTTTTATTAATATAATCAAATAGGATATTTTATTTCTCTTAACTCTGTCTATCAGATGAACCGGGACACTGTGGGCTCTCCATCAGTGGGGTGAAAACCCCCTGCAGTGAAAGCTACTCACACCTCTCTGCAAAGATGGCCGTGCCAAAAATTACAAACGGCACTGCAGCTTTATTGAGATCATAAAATTGTGCACAACTGATGCAAGGAATACAGTTTAAACACAATAAAAACACTTTTATAAATGTTGACTTGGTGGCTCAGCTACAGAGATGAAAACTCAGCTTTGTAAATTTAACATATTTCCACTGAAATATATTCCATCAATGTTATTGAGGAAAATAATTGCATAGTTCAGCTGAGGGACCTCCTCCAAAACAGGTGACATTTTCTGGCTCCTGTGAAAAAGGGTTAAGGATGGGGTTTTAGTGAGGGATGGCAAACTTACTATGCTATAAGTTTTAGTCAGTAGTGCTGTTACCCAGACTGATCTGTCTGGATCTTGTCTGGACTTGAACTGCACTGGACCGGTCTACGGTCTGAAACTAGCCTAAAACTGGTCTGAAATTTAAGTGTATGACAAGAAAAACTGAACAGAAAGAAAAAAAACTAAGAATCTATAATGAGAGTCTGACAAACAAGTGTATTCGTACCAGCATTTGACAAGAGCATCTGTCACTAGACATGATGATAGGATGATAGGGTTGTTACTGTGATAA